GCCACGAGAGAATGGGGGTGTGGCCACCAGAGAATGGGGGTGTGGCCACCAGGGAATGGGGTGTGACCACCAGGGGATCGGTGCTGCTAAAAGAGCAGGGATTGTAGATTCAAGGGGGCTTGGTGGCTAAGGTCACTCACTGATCTTGCAGAGAATCAGAGGTCACTTGCCAGCACTATATTGTCAAGAGGGTCACAACCTCCTCCCGGAACTCATGCAGACATACACACATTCATATACATTAAACAGATATAAATATTTATTATTTTTTAAAAGAATTCACGTTTGGCTGCTTGCTGCCACACCAGTGCAGGCATGCATCTGCTTCTTCATTTCCTGAACCAAGTCAGGTCCAGGGACCCAAGCCAAAGCAGAGGAGGACAAGAAATGTCAGAAGCATCCATTGGAGCCTCACTGCCCAGTGTCTTCCCTGGCTCCTATGTCAGGTCAGACATGCAGGGGCGAGCAGGCTGCCAACTTCATGGATGAGCATCTAGCCTCAGGAAGATGAGGTCAAAGACCCAAAAGCACCCCAATGGTAAGTGTCAGAGGCAGTATTTGAACCCAGCACTGCCTGACTCGGATCCCCCATTTTATCTGAGGCCAGCAGAAATGACACTGAGGTGTCAGATGCATGCTCTTTCACAAAGACGGGAATGTGAAAGAGGAGAGATGGTGGACAGAGCACATGGAGACTACAGACCTGACTTCACAGCATCCTTTGAGGGCCTGAGTGTTCTGACCCTGTGGTCTTCTGTGGCCATCCCTGAAGATGCTCATTCATCATGCTCTACCCGATAACTTCCCACTCTGGGCTTTTCCTCACAAAGTCCCCTCTTTCTGAAACGCTCCACACTGGCATTTGTTTCTGAATGGTTCCTAACTTAAATGGAAGCTCTCCTCGTTCTCATCATCATCTAGAATCAGGATTCCTGCATAGCCCGAGGCCGGATGCACATTTAAAGCAGTTATGAATTAGATGCACTCAATCCCTGCCTCTTCACCCAGGCCAGAATTGCACAACACAACCGGGAAACCAGTGCTGCCCAGAAATGGTCTAGACATACACACAGTAGAAGCCCCTCGCCAAGGAGCGAGCATCTGAGGACAGGGGCAGATTTTGTTTATTTATTTATACTATGTATTTGTCCTGATCAGCTTTAACTATCAACTGGTCACAACCTTAGAGGAAGGCCACTTGGCCTGTGTGCCTCTCTGTGAGGAACTGTCTCAATAGTTAATTGTCTTAGGAAGGTCCAGCCCACTATGGGTGGCACCAGTTCCTGGCCAGGTGGTTCTGAACTGTGTAAGAAAGCCAGCTGGGTACAAGCTGGTCAGTGAGTCAGCAAGCAGCATCCTCCGTGGTTCCTGCTGTACCTTGACTGTGAAGTGACTTCCCCAGTGGGAGATAATGACAGTCAGTGCGCCACTTCAAGTTCCCACCCTGGCTTCTCTCAGTGATGGACCGTGATGAGGAACAGAGGCCAGATAAAGCCCTTCCCTCCTCTATGATGCAGGATGTCTTAGCACAGCCACAGAAAAATAAATAGAACAAAATTACATTGCATGAATTATTTCACATGTAAATTATATAATTTATATTAGGCACATGCGGCCAGTGGCTACCTTACTGTGGCTGTAGAAGACAGCTTCTCCAAGGTGTGGGCCATTTTACCTTAGCCATCCATCCAGTCCTTTGTACCAAGGATGGTATCAAACTATTGAGTGGCCAGGTGTGGTGGCACACTTTTAATCCCAGCACTCAGGAGGCAGAGGCGGGCGGATCTCTATGAGCTCTAGGACAACCTGGTCTATATAGTGAATTCCAGGAAAAGACAGAGTCATCTGATGACTGGGCATATAGATCAGTGATGGAGTTTTCTTAGCATACATGAAGCCCTGGGTTCCATCCCCATCACCGAAAGAAAAAAATCATTATCCTGGGAAAGAGAAATCTCACAAGGCCTGCCTCGCATGGAGTCCAGGATAATGAAGAGCAGCATACAAACTTTCAGCTGCCCCACAACCCACATGATGTCCTTAGCAGACAGCAGGTGAACAAGGCCTTTTGTGGTCTCAACTGGGCCATGCCAGAGCTGTGCAGCAGGGCCTCTGGGTGCACCAAAGACTACTTTCTTAGACTCTTGTGCTGCTCCCCTCCCCTCCCCATCCCAGCAATCTGCTTAGAGGCTTAGGGCCTATGAACACCCAACCTCCCGCAGGGCCCAGTCTGTTCCAGAGTCCACTCTTGCCAGCACTCTGAAAAAAATTTTTAAACCATATTGCTCTCAGGAAATCTGCTGCCTGCAATCTGCGCATAATATATGCAGGGCATGGTCTGAGAAACATCTAAGTCGTGATGTGTAACCCACTCAGATTCACACAGTTGCCTGTTTTCTTTCTCTTTTAGCTTCCTTGTTCTTATAAACGGAGGCCAGCACATTCACAGACTAATTATGACTTCATTCAAGTGTATCTTGGGGCTTTCTTTTCATAAACATTTTGGCTTTTTGTTTTTATTTACCTGAATGTGTGCCTGTAAGCCACATGTGAGGACAGAAGAGGGCATCCGATGTCCTGGAACTGGAGTTAACAGGTGTTTGTGAGAACATGGGTGCTGGGAACCAAACTTGGTCCCCTGGAAGAGCGGCAGGTGTTCTTAACAGCCGAATGGGCTCTCCAGCCCCTGGGGTTTTCCAGCAGCCATTTTGGGGAGTCCAGAAGCACTAACCTATATCACTACCTTTTATAAATACTTCAGATGTAATGACAATAGCAAAAAGGTAGTGTCTATTGCTTTGTGTTGTCAAGCATTTAGCACACATCTCATTTAACCTTCATAATAAGCAAATGAATCAAGAATTATGATAGTCATTTTTTAGGACTCGAACCTGGGTACTCAAGTATGCTAGCCACACACTGTGCCACTATCCACTTGTCCCCATCTGTCCCGGGCTCTTTATAGTTAGAGAAACTGAGTCTTAGAAAGGCTAATGACTTGAGGTCAAGATTTGAACCCAAATCTGCCTGGATGAGAGCCAATGTTCTCTGACAGTAAACCATTTAACCTCTCTGATAGATAGTACATGTTCTTCTATTTGTAAAATATTGAGATTGAGAATTGAAAATCACCCTGAGGGACAGGATGGATGCTTCTTAAGCTACCTGTAAACTGTAATCACTGTATCTACTTTGTGTGTATTGCATCACTGTCATATATTTAAAATAAAATTTATTATTATTATTATTAATAGTAGTAGTAGTATCATTATTATATTTCTGAGACAGGATGGGGTTCAGACTGACCCAGAATGTGTATTTTTTGGTATCTCCCTCGGGTGCTGGGATTCCAGTCCTTCATCTCTAGACCCAGCTTCACTTAATTACAGATTATAGTTTCTCTATTCTCACTGTCCCTTTCTGTATGTTTAGTGCTGGGAATGGGATCCCTGGCCTTGTGCATGGTAAGCAAGTGTTCTGAATGAGCCGGCCCATAGTTCCCTGTTTTCACTCTCTTTTAGTTATGGACAGAATCAGTATGTGATGTCATATCCATATATTAGTAACCTGAAGGCACGTATGTCTTTGGCTAAATTCACATGCTCTGCCAGTGCTTGACAATCCATTCCACTAAAGCTGTCATTCCAATATGCATTCTTATTTGGAACACCAAATTTTGTTTCATTTTTTTTAATTTTGGATAATTGTTTGGCACTGTGGACATGATGCCTGAGCTCAATGAGAGCTCGGTGGCATGAGTTCCTTGAGGCATCTGTACTCTGACATTCATGTATTTATGTCTTTGTATATGGTATATGGACTTTGGATATTAGAAGTGGGTACAAATTAAAGCTGCCATTAGTCAAAAGGGTATTTAAGGATCTATTAACAAAAGCTGAAAAGCTAGTTCCAGGACAATCTCCAAAGCTACAGAGAAACCCTGTCTCAAAAAAAAGTACAGTTTCAATTAATGAAAATGTATAATGAAAATTAATTTTACATTAATTGAGAAGTAAACATGACAACCTCCACGAGCACTCAGAGCCTCAGAGAAGCCGGATCAGTCACTCTAAAAGTCACTTGTGAGAATTCTTCAGTAGCTTGAGATGTTGGGGGGACTCACATCATTTTTAAAGTCAGTCATGTACACACAGGCTAACAATAACCAAACCTTCCCAAAAGACCCAAATGGAAGTGACTTCCACCTGCCAGATGACCAGAGACTCTTAAAATTAAAGCCGGAACCCCATGAAAATATTATCCTTCGTGTCCCTGTTCAGACGTTTGGAATTTGCTTAACAAATCACTGTCGCTTGTGGCCTGAAAAATACCTGCAAATCCCCCTGAAGGCCTCTGTCCTTTCTGGTGCCTCTCTGTCTTCTCCTAAGATTCTTAGCGTGAACTAGGTAACCCCCCCCCAATTCCCCACCTCAAAGGAATGCATTTCTAGTGAGGCTTACTCCAGCTAGCTCTTCCCCAAGCCCTTCATTCAGAAGGCAAGAGTCTCCAGGCACAGCTCACGATCCTCTCATTCACATGCTTCCCCAACCTGCCCCATCCTCTCTGCTAGGAAGGCATCCTTGCTGTTTAGGCATAACATCGGTCCTTTCCAAAAGACCTTGCAGGGGGAAAACATCAGGAATTGCACAGTGTGAGAGAAAGACTGGTAAGGACATATACCAGCCCTTGTCAATTCAGCCCTCATTTCCAAACCGCATCCCACACGCTCTCACAGCATAGACCTCAACACCCCTTCATGGTTGAGAGCGATTATCACGGGAAAACACGGAAACTAAGGATTCCCACAAGGTCCTGACAGATCTAGAAAAAAAAATCAGAAACACAGCTGGTCGAGGAAAATGGCTTTTCTCCTTCAGGCCCAATTCTTCCGTCTGTAACAGCATTTTCCGATTCAAGAGGCCGTGCGGGGATGCACCCCTGCAGGCTCTGCTCTTCTAAAAGGCACCCCGCCTGCCTCCCTTCGCCCCCGCGGTACTCACGGCAACTGCCTGAGCTGGAACAGGTCCTCCTCCATGTCCGCGCTGCGCCAGGGCGAGCCTGGGCATGGCCCTTACATGGTGGAGCACCGTCGGCGCGCCGGCTTTCAGCACCGGGATGCTGGACAGCTCCACCGCTTCCTCCCTGGGCAGCAGCTGGGGGAGGGAGCCCTGCCCGGGAGACAAAGCCGCCGCCGCCGGGAGACCGACGGGAGTGGGCGGAGGACGAGGGGAGGGCTGCGCGGTAGAGGGGGCGGAGCGAGCCCTGCTGCTCCCAGGAGCCCACAGTCCGTTGATTGGGGGTGTCTGTGAGGCACCCCCGCCTGCCAGATGATGCCTCCCTCCCTGAATGTTCGTAAGAATTTATTAGTGTTGTCAGTATGATGTTCTGGAAGCTTAAGCTCTGGGATGGAGTATAGATTTTCTTGGGAATGTTCTCCATGCATTACATTACTGTGTGCTGAGCACCTACTGGGTGCCAGGCACAGTAACAGGCTGTTGACAGAACACTTTTGAAAAGATTCTTGCCGGGCGTTCGTGGCGCACGCCTTTAATCCCAGCACTCGGGAGGCAGAGGCAGGTGGATCTCTGCGAGTTCGAGGCCAGCCTGGTCTACAAAGCGAGTTCCAGGACAGCTTCCAAGACAATACAGAAATACAGAGAAACCCTGTCTCGAAAAACCAAGAAAAAAAAAAAGAAAGAAAGAAAGAAAGAAAAGATTGTTATCACAGAGCTGAGGGCCTGATGAAATGGACCTAGGAAAGGAACAGAAGGTAACTGGGTTATTTATTCTTCACAGTCTGACTAGAACTTCAACTCCTTGAATTGTCTTGGATGTAACCCAGGTGCCCAGGACAGTGTGCCTGGCACACAGAGCATCCTTAGTAAACATCTGTCATGGCTGAGTGTGGTGGCACAAGGGAGGGTGAAACAGAAGGACCATGAGTTCAAAGCCAGCCTGGATTACTAACAAGCTCAAGGGCAGATGGGTGTTAAAACAGTGTCTTAAAAGTTAAACTGGGCCGGGCAGTGGTGGCGCACGCCTTTAATCCCAGCACTTGGGAGGCAGAGGCAGGCGAATCTCTGTGAGTTCAAGGCCAGGCTAGACCGACAGCCTCCAAAACAATACAGAGAAATCCTGTCTCAAAAAACCAAAAAAAAAAAAGTTAAGCTGGACTGGGTGGTGGCGGCGCACGCCTTTAATCCCAGCACACAGGAGGCAGAGGCAGGCGGATCTCTGTGAGTTCGAGACCAACCTGGTCTATAAGAGCTAGTTCCAGGACAGCCTCCAAAGCCACAGAGAAACCCTGTCAAGAACCCCGCTCCCCCCAAAAAGTTAAGCTGGGCATGGTGGTTGTACAGCTTTGATCCCTGCACTTGGAGGCAGAGGCAGGTGAATCTCTGTGAGTTCCAGGTCAGCTAGGGCTACAGAGTGAGATGCCATAAAGGGAGGAAGGGAGAGAGGAAAAGAGGAGGAAGGGAGAGGGAAAAAATATCGCAAGTGAATGATCCTCAATTCAAGTTGTCCATAATCACTTGATTCCATCCAAGGCTATGGAAACTACTGTGGGTGGGCCTGGTGCCTGGATGCTTAAAGAGCTCCTCAGAAGACTTAGAGTGGAAACTTCTGGTCCCAGTGTGACGCAATGGAGAAAAGAGAAGAAATTCAACTACCATGATGGCAGCTCCCATGCTTCCCATTGTGTGGGGGCCATGACTGGATGGAAGATCATAGCGGCCTGAAGAAGACAGAGACATTCTTTTCTATTTTTTTATAACTTGTGTATGTGTCTATGTGTATGCATGTGTATGTGTGTGCATGCATGCGTGTAGTGTGTGGTGTGTGTATGTGCTCATGTGTGCATGTGTGTGTAGTGTGTGTGCTCATGTGTGCATGTGTGTGCAGTGTGTGTGTGCTCATGTGTGCATGTGTGTAGTGTGTGTTCAGTGATGTCAGTCCATGCTCATTCACCCTGGGTTGAGAGGACAGACAGCGTTGTTGCAGAAGCCAGTGATAGAAAAGCAGCTTGCTTTAAGGCAGCTGGGAGGCAGAGAGGAAGGGACTGGAGTCCAAATGCAACCTTCAAAAACATTACACAGAGACTGGAGAAAGTGGGAACTGGAAAAAAAACAAAGCAACTAAACAACAAAAACCATAAAAGCCAGGGGCTAGAGAGATGGCTCCATGGTTAAGAACACTTGTTGCTCTTCAACAGGACCTGGTTTGGTGCTGAGCACCCACAACAGGTGACTCACAACTGCCTATTATTCCAGCTCCATGGGATCTGATGCCCTCTTCTGGCCTCCTTAAGTACTGTGTGTGTGTGTGTGTGTGTGTGTGTGTGTGTGTGTGTAAGCAAATGCAACATAAAAGAATGCCACACATCTTTGCATCATTAAACAAATGTTCCATAGCATAAACAGATATAACACATCTTAAGATAATATTCCACAACAACACTCTTTTTTTTTTTTGGTTTTTTTGAGACAGGGTTTCTCTGTGGCTTTGGAGGCTGTCCTGGAACTCACTTTGTAGACCAGGCTGGCCTCGAACTCACAGAGATTCGCCTGCCTCAGCCTCCCGAGTGCTGGGATTAAAGGCGTGCGCCACCAACGCCCAGCCACAACAACACTCTTAGAAGCTAGTCCCTCCCACAAGGCCCAACGCCTAATGCTTCCCCTGACTTCCAAAGTCTGGAGTCTCTGGGTCCCATGTTTTGAGCACACAGGCCTTTGGGGGACACTGCACATGAACTAGCAGAGAGACTTCTAAAACTCTAAACTATTACTCACCAACAGTTATTGACTGAGTGAGTTTTGTGCCTCACAACCTGCAGCCATCACTCATAACTATTTCTCTTTCCACACATGTATGTTTGTGGTATATGTATATGCTTGTGTTCACGTGTGTGTGCACAGGTATGGAGGCACAAGGTTGACATCCAGTGTCTCCCTTGGATGTTCTTGCCAAGGGACTTGATTCCAGAGACAGTCATTTTAGCTAGTCTGTCCGTCCACTTGCTCTTGGGATTCCCTGTGTCCACCTCCTGTATGCCAGGACTTCTGGGAGGCCTCCACTCCCACCTGGCACTTTCTGTGGGTTCCGTGGGGGATCACACTGTGGTCTTTATGGCTGTGCAACAAGTGCTTAACCCACCGAGCCTCTTGGCTACTCTTTACCTCGTGCATGTTAGCTGCAATTATTTGTCCTACCCATAATCACTTGTAAATCCTACCCCACTCCTGCTCTATGGGTAACATGACTCCTAGCCTCAGCTGAGTGATCAGGAAGCAGACACTATCCTAAAGGTATCCAATGCAAAGCTAGAAGTGTCACCCCACTGGTAGAGGCTTGTCTGGTGTGCATGAAGTGCTGGATTCCAACCCCAGCGTTGAATAAGACTGGGCATGGTGGTGCAAAGGTATCATCCCAGCACTCATGAAGATCAGAAATCCAAAGTCGTTCTTGCCTATACATTGAGCTTAAGGCCCTTCCTCAAGAAATTATATACATGACTCTGTGTGTGTGTGTGTGTGCATGTGCGCACGCGCGCATGCGTGCATATATATGATGCACTGTAGACACTGATCAGCAGCATCTTCTCATTGATAGAGTCAAATACTGTTGAATTACTATGTGACCCTATGATAATTAGCAACTGGACACAACCTATTGTCACCACCTGGGAACAGAATCACAATAGGAGCTGTCTACATTAATGTGCCCTATATGTCATCATCATCATCATCATCATCATTATTAATATTATTATTTTGGTTGTCCTGGCTCTCCTAGGACTCACTCTGTGTGTAGCCGATGCTGGCCTCAGACTCAGAGATCTGCCTGTCTTCCCAAGTGCTGGGATCAAAGCAGTGCACTACTACTGCCGGGCTATTACTCTGCTTTTGACTATTGATGTGATATGACTTACTACCTCAAGTTCCCACCATTTTGGCCTCCCCACAATAATAGACTGTAGCTGGGAACTGTGAGCTAAAAGAAACCCTTTGTTTCCTCAGTTGCCTTTTGTTAAGATAGTTTATCATTTCAAAAGAAGTGACATTACAACACAGACCCCCCCCTCCACTGGACTCCCATCTCTATCCTCAATGTAATCTAAAGCAAGAACTTGTACAGATCTGTGTGCATCAATGTGTAAAAGCAACACTATTCACTGAAGCTGAGAAAGGGGACCTGGGGTGTAGCTCAGTTGGGAAGAGCACTCCACTAGCATGCATGAAGCCCTGGGTTCCATTCCAACAGTGCACAAAAGTGGCCAGGGTGGCACTCACCTGCAATGCCGGTGGAGGCAGGAAGATCGGGATTTCAAGACCATCAAACGTGTGTTCGTCAACAATGAAGTCGGATAAAAACCATACTGCTGATGCACCTTGAAAACGTTATGCTAATTGAAAAAAGCCTGGCATAAAAGGTCAGATGATATTGAATTTACACAGCATGCAGACATAACAAATCCATAAGGACAAAATGTGAAATAGATGATGTGGAGAGAAAGGAATGTTTAATAGGCATGGTTCCTGACTGGGAGGATTTAAGTTGTTTAGAAAACAGCAGCATGTTCCTCACATCTCTGAACTAGCACGTTTATAAGCTGGGCTGGCGAGATGGTTAAGCTGGTAAGGGTGCTTGCTGCCAAACCTGATAACCTGGGTTTGAACCCACATGGTGAAAGGAGAAATCAAAGTCCCTCAAGTTGTCTTCAGACCTCCATGTGCGTATTATGACACATGCCTCCCCAGTAAATAAAATGTAATTTTTAATCAGCTAAGGGCTGTAAAATGGCAAAGTTACTATGGAAAACAATATAGAAGTGTCTGAAAAATTATCATATTAATCTCACTACTTGATTCAGAAACAGGAGGAATGAAAAGATCAGAAAGAGAAGGTTTATGTACCCATGTTATTGCCAAGAAGTAGGAACAACCTGAGTGTCCATTGAGAAATGGATAGGGAGAGGAGCTAGTACTTAATGAAATATCATTTTGCTGTAGTTCACTGTAGTTCACTTTATGCCAAGAGAACTAAGCCAATCACCAAGACTCTTCCCATGATAGTAACTGGAGACAGTCAACCTTGAAGGATCAGAAATGGAAGGTATTTACTAGGTAGGAAGAGGAAGAGTAGGGAGAATCACACAGTTCAGTTTGGAGAAGAGAAATGCTATAAAGAGCTGCCACACAGCAACATGCTCACGTAAGACAGGAACTAAATTTTTATTTCTTTTTTTAAAAAAGATTTATTTATTGATTATGTATACAGCGTTTAGTCTGCATGCACCCCTTTCTGCCTGAAGAGGGCACCAGATCTCATTATAGATGGTTGTGAGCCACCATGTGGTTGCTGGGAATTGAACTCAGGACCTCTGGAAGAGCAGCCAAAGCACTTAACCTTTGAGCCATCTTTCCAGCCCTAAAATTTTATTTCTTTATTATACATATAGCAGTGATCCATAGGCTGATAAATATCTAGTTTGTTTCCAAGCTTTGCTGTTTTGAAGACTGATTCTAGGACCGTGTGTATGGAGTTTTGTAGGGGGTATGAACCTAACAGATTTTTTAAAAACATCTCATTTTAACTGTTTCTGTGAGCGTACACGTGTGCACGTGTGTATATGTGTGTGCATGTGTTCGAGAACGTGTATCCCTGCTTGTATATGTGTATATTTGTGTATGTATGTATACGCGTGTGTACATGTGCGTTTAGGTGTGTATATGAGTGTGCGTGTATGTGAGTGTGCATGTGATATATACCTGTGTGTGTGTGTGTACACGTGAGTGCACCACAGCACATATAGGCAGGCCAGGACAACTCTGTTTCTCTTTTACCGTATGGTCGCGGTCCCGGGTACTGAACTCAGGTTGTGAGATTTGGTGGCAGGTGCCTTTATACCTGCAGACCTATCTGACCAGCCCACACCTTTTTTTTTTTTAATCAAAAATGGAACCCCCTGTTTTTTTTTTTAGTTCTCATTTTAATGGCAGCCTTTCCACACGAAGCATGACCCAAGCTCTGTCCTGAATGCGGAGCGTCTGCAATTCTGGATGAAGCTCAAGCAAATGCGAGGAGTGCTCACAGCTTCCGAAGCAGTGCACGGCCCCGGAAGTCTCCCTTAGCAACGAATCAGACCGCGGTTGCTAAGGGAAAAGGAACCGGGAAGCGCTGGTCCTTCCACTATTGAGGTCCGGCGGCAGCAACTTCCGGTTCGCCGTCCTACCTTTCCCCGCCGAGACGAGGTCGCTACCACTGGTTCCGCCGCCTCAGGAACCTCGCTCACTGGGATCCTCACTTCTCTGCTGCGGGCGGGGGGCGGCGGCGGCGGCGGCGGCGGCAGCAGCAGCAGCAGCAGCAGCAGCAGCAGAGAAGGAGGAGGCGGCCGTGATGCTGAGTTCCCGGGCGCAGGCAGCGAGGACGGCGGCCGACAAGGCCCTCCAGCGCTTCCTGCGTACCGGGGCGGCCGTCAGGTGAGCGGGCAGAGAATGGCCGGCCCGGGGCCTCCAGGCCTGCGCCATCCTGGCCGAGACAGGGCCGCGGCCCAGCGCCTCCTCGTCCCTGCAGTGCCCGAGGCCTGCGAGGCCCCGAAGCCCTTCGCGGTGACCCCAGACCCGGACCCCCAGGCCCACAGCCTTCCCAGGCCTGCACGTCCCCTCCAGTTTGTTATATGCCAGTTTCCCACCTCTGCCCTGCTGGCAATGCTCGCTTCTGCGTCTCAAACCGCGCCGGTCTCCAAGCAGTCCTGCCCAGTCTGTGACGACTTAAGGCTCTTCGTCCCTGCTAGGACTCCTGCTTGCACCCCAACCTGTCCAAGTCTAGCTTCCCAAGGGCTGGGGCCACACCCCCATTGCTCACCCTGACTGCTGGGACCTGTTGCTTGGGGTTGGCTTCCTGGGATACTGGGGCAGGTCTAACATAACAGCGCCTTATCCTGCTTGGAAGCCCTCAGGGTCCAATCTCTCCAGTGATGGGAACTACGCCTTGCAGAGGCCATGCCCGTCGGTCCAGCCTGGCCTCGAACTCACAGAGATCCGCCTGCCTCTGCCTCCCGAGTGCTGGGATTAAAGGCGTGCACCACCACTGCCCGGTGTGCCCGTGGTCTTACAGCTGACCTGAGAGCGGGGCTGGGGGCAGCTTAGGCTTCTCACTCGCAGGCTCTCGTCTTCTTATGATCTGCAGAGGAACAAGTCAAGCAACACTGTGTGCCTCAGTTTCCCTCGTTGAGTGTATGGCAGGCAGGTGTGCTATGACCTCCTCCTCCAGCAGACTGCTTTATTATTTTCTTTTTTAAAGCCAAGTTCTGTGCCATTCTCTGGGCTTATCCTGGAAGAACAAACATTGTTTTGAACTTCACGATTAGCTGTGATGTAGGAGAATGCTGGCTACTGCCCAACGATTTCTGTGTTGTCACTAGTGACCCCTCTCAGTGAGTGTTCATTGAGCTGAAATACATATTCATGCAGTCAGGGTGGGGATGTGGCTCAGTGATAGAACATGCATGTATCATGTATATGTGTGTATCATGTATGAGGCCCTAGGTTCAATCCCTGGTACTGAGGGGAAAATAAGCTTCATACAGTCCAAGCTTTAGGGTAAGAATGTCCACATGTACGTATGTGGGTACGTATTACACCGATGTGTGGTTGCCTTAAAATTGTGTTTTGAATACTACTGCGGTTTCCTTATCTATATTGTTCAAGTCAAGCCTCCTGAAATGAAGAAATCTTTAATTTCATGAATTTACAGAAGATCCCCATTGTACTGTTTAATATTCTCAAAGGGAAATCCATTTCTAAAGCCAGGTGCGGTGGCACAACTCTGTCATTCCAATTGCTCAGGAGGCTGAGGCAGGAGGATTCTTGAGTTCAAAGCTAACCTGGGCTACAGAGTGAGTTAAAGGCTAGTCTGAGTGACTGAGGGAGACTGTCTCTTAAAAAAATTAGTAAGTAAACAAATAAATAAGTAAATAAATTGGGAGAGCCTGGGAGATGGTCAGGTGTTCAGGAGCTTACTAAACAAGCAGCAAGTGTTAGGACCTGAGTTCAGATCATCAGAAGCCATGTGAGCACCCGGTAGCCTGGCATAACCCTGCACTTGGCAGGAAGAGGCGTGGGAGTCTGATCAGCTGTGTCAGTGAACTCTGAGCTCAAATGAGAGGCCCCACCTGAATGAATAAGGTAGCTAGAGAGTGACAAGGACTCCTAGTGTCAACCTCCACCCCCCAATTTTGGATCTTAGTGCTTAAGCATCCTGGTTTTCAAGACATGACCTCCTTCCCTCCTTCTCTCCCTCCCTCCCTCCTTTCTTTCTTTCCTTCTGTTTTTCAAGACATGGTTTCTCTGTGTAGCCCTGGCTGTCCTAGAACTTGCTCTGTTGACCTGGCTGGCTTTGAACTCACAGATTTGCCTGCCTCTGCCTCCTGAGTGCTAGCATCAAAGGCGTGCACCACCATGCTTGACTTCAAGATACATTCTTATTGGTGTATATTACCTTAGGTTTAAAACTTGCTGATTGGTGTGTTATTTTGACAAAATGTCACTTTTCCCTATGGGTGTCTGTGTACCCACCTGCTGCTGTGAGACAAAGTGACAATCAGTGTCTTTTCTTTTTTAGATACAAAGTCATGAAGAACTGGGGAGTGATAGGCGGAATTGCTGCTGCTCTTGCAGCAGGAATATATGTTATTTGGGGTCCCATTACAGAAAGGAAGAAGCGGAGAAAAGGTAGGGATGGGGCCCTGCATCGTGGTCTTTGAATTTGACTTGAGCCCCTTTTGTCCGAAAGCAGTAGAGGAAGCCAGGGCTTTGGGTGGCTGGTCCTGTCATCTCTAAAGAGGACTGTGGTCTGTGAAGTAGAACTTCACACAGCCCCACCCTGTGGTGGGAAGGCTCTGTTTTAGCACCTTCTTGCACTTGATGTTAAGACATGCCGGGTGCTAGCCTGGTGGCTCATGCCTATAACTCCAGCACTCAGGATGCTGGAGCAGGTGGATGCTATGCCATGAGTTTGAATCCAGCCTGTGCTATAAAGCAAGTACCAGGCTAGGCAGGGTTACATAGGCAAGACCTTGACAGGGGTGAGGGGGTGGGGAGAGTGGGGGTAGGGGGATGGGGAGGGTGGTGAGGCATGCTTTGTAATTGTGTTTCAAGTGGCTCAATTGTCTGAGGTTCTCATTAATGTGGAATTGTATTTACAGTTCTGCAGCTGACCGATTACATCACAGGAGAGGTTTTTCTGGGAGGAGAGAAGGGAGAAGGGGAGAAGAGGTAGCAAAGTCTGTTACAAAATCTGATCCTTGTTTAACAAGGGGACAGTTGTAGGGAAGTTCATTATGTATTTTCATGGGTATTTGAGAATTTTCTTATTAAAAAGTTTCTAAACAAGGCTTGGTAGCACACATGTATGGTCAGCACCCAGGAGGCTGAGGCAGGAGGCTCTGAGATGGAGGGTAGCCTGGGCACTGTGTACAGAGTTGATGAGGACGCCCTGCCAGCTGGTGCTGCTGTCTTTGCAGACAGACCGGCCAGAATCAGTGTCTCTCTTGGTCACTGTGGCAAGAACAAAAGCATTGTCCCTAGAGGCGGTTCAATTGCCAGCTGCTGTGGGGACAGTGTTCTCTAACTAAAGGAGAACATGAGGGTGAGGAGGAAGGCGAGGCTACTGCTTTTGTCCATTTAATATCTGTGCCAGGCCCCTGGAAGGGTTTCAGAGCGAGCACAGGGCAGTGGCCTGTTCTGTGGTTCACAGTTCACAGCATAGAACGCCCAGCGCCCTAGTCTTGCTCAGGTCGGAATCCCAATGGAGGGCTCCACTGCCGAGACACAGGGTCCCGGATGGGAGAGAGAAGGTGGGCCCAGCGAAATGCACTATCATCTTATGCACACTCTCCTTTAGGGCTGGTGCCGGGGCTCGTCAACTTAGGGAACACCTGCTTCATGAACTCGCTGCTGCAGGGCTTGTCTGCCTGTCCCGCCTTCGTCAAGTGGCTGGAAGAGTTCACCACCCAGTACTCTAGGGACCAGCAGGGGCCACACACACACCAGTGCCTGTCCTTGACACTGCTGAACCTCCTGAAAGGTACAGTGGGGACTTGAGGGGTGTGTGTCTCCAGCATGTAGATGACACAAGAAATGCTTAACAGCCACTTTGTAGAAAAAGACATGGGGGGTGGTGGGGAGGGGACACTCAGAACCTAAGAGGCTTAGATTAAATCAGATTAAAAATTAATTTAAAGTCAATTAGATTCAAAGTAAATCAAAGTTTTTTTTTTAAGTTGTATTTATTGTATGAGTGTACGCTTATGTGCCGTAGCACACATAGGCAGGTCAGGATAACTTTGTTTTCTACCGTATGGTCCTGGGGACTGAACTCAGGTTGTGCGATTTGGTGGCAGGTGCCTTTACTTATAGAGCCATCTCATTAACCCCACTTATAAATAAAAAATGGAACCATCTACTTAAGAAAATGGTCAGTTTAGCTGGGGGTGGTGGCACACACCTTTAATCCTAGCACTTGGGAGACAGAAGCAGGTGGATCTCTGAACTTGAGACCAGCCTGGTCTACAGAGTGCGTTCTAGGACAGCCAAGGCTACACAGAGAAACCCTGTTTCAGAAAACCAAAAGTAAATAAATAGATAAACAAATAAATAAGTAAATCCACTACCACACAAGCACTTCAACTATAAGAAGTTTTTTTAGAAGTGGGTGTTTTGACCCAAGAAATACGATCATCACAAAAGAAATACAAGTAAAGGCTCTTGGGTTTTGTTTCTTTTTGCCTGTCAGAAAAGATTTAAAAGAGCAAATTGCAAATTCCAGAGCCTGGCAGCTGTTAGCTGGGGTGTGCTCACACTGCGATGGGGGTGGAACTTGGTCTGACCTTTCTTTTTTGGTTTTTCGAGACAGGGTTTCTCTGTATTGTTTTGAAGGCTGTCCTGGCACTCACTCTGTAGACCAGGCTGGTCTCGAACTCACAGAGATCCACCTGCCTCTGCCTCCTGAGTGCTGGGATTAAAGGTGTTCGCCACCAAAACCCAGCTCCTGTGGTCTGACCTTTCTTGAGTGTGCTTTGGAACCGCCCTGTGAGCCCTTGCAACATGACCAGTTTCATGGCTAAAAGTCTTCCTTGTGGCTGCTGTTAGTGTCTGGGAAAAGATGTGAAGGACTTTTTAGATATGTGTCTGTGTGGGTGCCTATGAAGGCCAGGGGAGAGCGTCAGGTCCCCGGGAGCTGGAGTTACTGGCAGTTGTGACCCACCCCGCATGTGTGCTGGATCCTCTGGAAGTGCAGCCACGCTCTTAACTGCTGAGTCATTCCTCTAGCACCCTAGGAATTTGAAGTCACTTATCCAACTTCATTATTCTTAAATCTACATGTAAATAGGCTTTGCATTTATTTGTTTATGTATGTTTGTGTTTGGGTACATACACATGACATGGCACATGTGTGGAGGTCAGAGGACAACATGTGGGAATCTGTTCTCCTTCTGCCCCCCTTGTTTTCCTGCTTAAATTCAGGTCAGTAGACTTTGTGGCAAGCACCCTTACCTGCCAAGCCATTTTGCAGATCCCAAATTCAGTTTTGTGCAAAAGGTTTTGTTTTTTTGCTACTGAACTGTCCTTGATGGCACTGTTAAAATCTGGATATTGCATGGTACATGAACAAAGGTCTCCAGCATGTTCTAAACCTCCAGGGGTATAGGTATCTGACAGAAGGCCAAGGGGCCAGTGGCACACTGCCATGCAGAGCTGCTTTTACCAGTTTGTTCTCTTTTAATTTGGAATAGGTAGTAATGTTAAGTTAAAAAGAACAGGGTAGCAAATATGATGTGATTTCATTTCCCTGGCCTAAGAGCTTCACAGCTAATGGCCACTTTCTAGGAAAAAGGCTAAAACAGAGGCGGTCTTGGTACAGTACAGTTAGTGATAGTTTTAACAAACGTTAAAAAAATAAATAAATAAATCTACATGGTGGTAGCGCACGCCTTTAATTCCAGCACTTGGGAGGCAGAGGCAGGAGGATCTCTGTGAGTTTGAGGACCCATAGCTACTGAGAAACCTAGGCTGAAAAAAACAAAACAAAACAACAACAACAAAACAACTTTGCCACTGCCTAGCTACAGCAGCACTTGATACTCTCACAGTCAGAAGCACAGGGCTGGGAAGATCCCTTGGTAAGCTGCTCGAGCCTATGGACCCACGCTTGGATCCCCACCCCCCACACAACAGGCTGTAATCCCAGCAAGAGGCTGAGACAAGAGAGTCCTGCAGCTCACAGGCCAGCCAGTCTAGCCCATCCGTGAATTCCAGGTTTAGTGAGCGTGTTGGTCTCAAAACATATGGTAGAGAGTGGTACAGGAAGAGGTTTGCTGTCTAACTCTGGCCTCCATAGACACACACATACACACCTACAAATATGAGGTGCCATGACGTCCAACTCTGGCCTCCATAGCCAGCACACACCTACCAATATGAGGTGATGAGGTGCTACAATGTCCATCTCTGGCCCCTATAGACACACACACACCTCTACGTATATGTGTATGGGGTGCTGTGACATAGACACACATACACCTACATATATGCACATGATGTGCTATGATGTCCAACTCTGGCCTCTATAGACACCCACACCTACATACCTGCACATGAGGTGCTATTTTCTTTCTGGCATTGGCATTTCCCTGATGATGAGTTGCTGTAGCTCCTCGTCTGCCTGTGGCCATTGTCTTAGGAGAAATGACTGCTCAAGGTTCTACCTGTGTTTGTGTTGGGTTGTTTGGGGTTTTTGTTGTTAGTTTTTAGGAGTACTTTAAAAAAAATTGACTTTATTTTATGTGCATTGGTATGAAGGTGTCAGGTCCCCTGGAACTGGAGTTACAGACAGTTGTGAGCTGCCATGTAGGTGCTAAGAATTGAACCTGGGTCCTTTGGAAGAGCAGTTACTGCTCTTAACCACTGAGCCATCTCTCCAGCCCATAGAATTTTTTCTTTTAAATATTGATGTGTATATGTGTGGAGGGCCACATGCATGTGGGTGTCATGGAGACCAGAAGAGGGCATCAGGTCCCCTGGAGCTGGCCTTACAGGTGGGTGGGTGCTGGGAACTGAACCCGGGTCCCCTGGAGAGCAGCCAGTGCACTTAGTGCTTAGCGGCCTCTGCAGCCCTGGCACTTGGTGCATCCTACTTCTTCCCCCTTTGCATCCGTGTGGCCTGTAGCCTCTCTCGCATTGTAGCTCAGTGGTGTCTGTTAGAACCACTGTTCAGTCTTTCTCCCAGGCTGCAGCATGCATGCATCTCTGCACGCGGCCATTGTGTATAGATGCATGTTCCCTCAGGTAGACTGGAGGAGCTGCACTGCTGGGGGCAGGTTATGAAACTGCCAGGGACTTTGCCGATTGCCTCACAGTGCTCAGGGCAGTCACTGACATTTTCCCACGAGTGTGATTCCTTTCTCAGCTCTCTGTGCAGCCTTTGTCCTGGAGGGTGAGGGGCTGGACCAGCATGCTCTTACATCATACTGCTCAGGTAGCTGCCTCCTATGTCCTGCCCCTCGGGTGGGAGGTCAGCGTGTTCCCACCCTCTGAAGTCAGAGCTCTGATGAAAACCAAGTGGTAAGACGTCTGCCCTGGGTTATGTGCGGAGCACTGAACCAAAACCCAAGACCACAGACCCTTCCTTCATCTCCCACTTGACCAACACTGGCCCTGTGCGCTGTGCCTGGAAGCCCCTGGTCAGAATGAGAGTTAGTTGGCACTCTGTGGCCTGGGACCAGTCTATCTTTTGTTTTGTTGTTGTTTTGTTGTGACAGGGTGTCACTATGTAGCCTGGTTGTCCTGGAGTTCATTGTGTAGTCCAGGCTGGCCTCAGACTCAAAGAGATCTGCCTGCCTCTGCTTCCTGAGTGCTGTGATTAAAGTCGCGTGCCATCACACCCAACTTTGATTTATTTTTATTTACTTTTATTTATGTGCCTGTGTGCATCTGTGTGGGTATTCTTGGAGGCTAGGAGAGGGCGCCAGATCCCTCAACTGGAGTTACAGTTGGAGAGCGTCCTTATTTTGGTGCTGGGCTCTGAACTCCAGGCAACAAGTGCCTTTAACCACTGCAGCTCCCTCGAGCCCTGGGGCTGCCTGTATTCTAGTGAAGCCTCCTCAGTGTCCAGGCTGTGTGTATAGTTTGTCTGTGGTTGCACCTGTGCTTCATCCACTGAGTTGAGTAGTTGGACAGCATACTCTCCTAGGGAAAAGGAGCTGACCCTAGGTATAGATAGAGCCATGAATCCCTAGCAGACCTAACTCTATCTTTTTATAATTTACATTATTCATTTTACTATTATTTAGAATGGGACCTTGTTCAGTTCCCAGCATTGGTCCCAAATTCCTGGGGTCAAGAAATCTTCCCACTTCAGGATCCTCAATAGCTGGGGCTATGGCCCATGCACTACCCCAGACAGACTTTTTGTTTGGTTGGTTTTATTGTACTGCTGATTATAAAGTGATGCATTCAGCTGCTTTGTGCATCATGGGATGCTTGGTACCTGGTGGTCAGAAACACATAAATAAATACGAGCAAAGTCAGAGAAGCCACAGCAGAGCCCTGATTAGAGTGTTCAGCTGGCTGTGGGGTTAGCTTAGTAGTGAGGGTCCTTCAACCTTGAGAATGATGTGTTCAGACCATACTCAGCTGACTTACCTCATCAGTGATGGTCATTTATAGCTTCCTGAAATCTTAAGATTCATTCAGCAGACATGCTATGCTTCCTTGCTGACGCAGCATGTGTAAGGCTCCAAAGAGCATGCATGAGGGAGGAGGGAGCTGTGGTGTCAACCTGGCAGTGCTGTCACCTTTGCGTGCTGTAGTGTGCTGCATTTCTGGCTGGTTCTTCTGCTCTGACTCCGTTGTTGCCTTCCTTCTTTATACCCAGCTTTGTCCTGCCAAGAAGTCACCGAGGATGAGGTCTTGGATGCAAGCTGCCTGCTGGATGTCTTGAGGATGTACAGATGGCAGATCTCTTCCTTTGAAGAACAGGTAAGCACTACAGACCACAGGCTGAGCTTGGAGAGGCCTTTTCCCTAGGACTCTGTGTGTGTGTGTGTGTGTGTGTGTGTGTGTGTGTGTGTGTGTGTGTGTGTGTGTGTGGGCGTGGGCGTGTGCATGTGCATGTGCGTGCGCGCACACACGCACGCACGCGCACGCACATACCACTTGGGATCAAGCCTAGGGCCTTGAATGTGCTAGGCAAGTGCTCTCCCACTGAATTATATACCCTGCGTTTCTGTGGCATTTTGGGCAGTCTTAGTGTTGTGCGAGCAGAGCTCCAGTTTCTCACTGCTATCCTGATTAGAGAGGACACAAAATCCATGTCACTTCTTTATGGACACCTAGCAATGGTCACAAGGGAGAGCTTCTGGCTTTCTCTGACTCTGCACTCCAGGTTGTGAGAGACCCTCCAGCTAATACTCTTCTTGTTCTAAAAGATCCATTTTCAGAGGTGACTTAAAGTGTCCCCTGGCCTCCAGTGGGTGTTCTCACAGTCGCAGGGCTTCATTCAAGATGTTCTCCTTCCCTTTTGCAATTTCACTGTGGTCTTTAGAATTTGACATGCCTCCCTCTTGACCAGTGTTACCCAGAGTGACTCCAAGGCTGAGGGCAGCAGGACTGGGAGTGACATACTCCAGCTTCCCCAGCTGCATCTCCGAGTGTCCTGGTCCCATTTATATATGGGGTGGGGGAAGCCCCCTCAAAGACACTTCACACTGGGGCTGGATGGGGGGTGGAAACATGGGGAAGGGTGAGTGTTCCCGCCCCTTGGTCTTACAGGTTATCTCTTATTTCTCCCCATCTGATGCCATGTGCCGGGTTTCAAACACAAAATGGGTGATGAGTGTCTTTGCGAAGGGTTTCTCATGCTGGCTGCACTTGTGTGCTAGAATGTGTTTCCATCTGCATTTGCAAGTGACCCCAGCTGCTGGACTCACTCAGCTGTCCTTCCCTGGTCACAGCGGAGTCTCCAAGGACATCGTTAACTTTTTGTGTGTCCCACCCCTCTGTTAAGGACCTGTGTAAGCCATTCCCCAAGGTCAGTGCACAGCAGCTGATGGGCCAGTAGGGATGCAGCCCCAGGGAAGAGGGGGCAGGTCTAGGAATCAGTCTACTGCTCTTGCCCACATCTGCCATCTAGTTGGTCCAGAGCCAGCTCTCACTGATGGGCAGCCCGTTTTGTGTCTACACCAGGAGCTCTAGGAGACACACTGGGCTCAGTCCTTCATGTGCGTTACCTAACTGCATCCTTATGCCAGTCCGTGAGGAGTCGGGGTGCAGATGGGAACACAGCTCAGAGAAGCAAAGCGACTTGCCCAGTCACCTGCTGTGTCAGGTGGCAGAGCCAGGATTGAATGGTCTGGTGTTGAAGTGCACTCTCGTCCTTCACTCTTCCACAGCGCTGCCCCTTTCCTCACAGCCTGAGGAGCTTGCAGACGGGCTGCCTCAGAGGCTGCCTGAGCCTACAGAAAGAGCCAGCTAGTGGCTGGTTCTCCGTCCTGACAGGGCTGAGCTGTGCTTGTGCTGTTGGCGAATGGTGGCTTTCCACACCTGCCTCTGCATGAGCTCTTGCAGCCCAGGGGGTGACAGTGGGAGCAATGGGGCCCTGAGTTCAAGGTCAGCCCCTGCTGTGAGATGCTGTCTCCATGTACAAAGTACAAAAGGGCTGGGATTTAGCCAGGCAGATGCTGACTCACATGCCCGAGGGTCCCATCCCAGTGCTGCAGATTACATTACATTCAAATCTGGTTTGCTGTGACTTCGGCTTGGAGGGTATTCCAGTATGGGTTGCTGTTGCTGTGTAGAAACACCATAGCCAAAGCAAGTTGGAGAGGAAAGGGTTCATTTGGCTCACACTTCCACATCATAGTTCATCACTGATGGAAGTCAGGACAGGAAGTCAAGCAGGGTAGGAACCTGGAGGCAGGAGCTGATGCAGACGCCATGGAGGGTGCTGTTCACTTGCCCCCCCCCCCAGTGACTTGCTCAACCTACTCTCTTATAAGACTCAAGACCACCAGCCCAGGGATGCCCCACACACAAAAGGCTGGGCCTCCCCTATTAAATCACTAATTGCAGGCTTGCCCATAGCCCAGTCTCGTGAGGCATTTTCTCAGTTGAGATTCCCTCTTCTCTGATGACTCCAGCTTGAGTCTCAGTAAGTAGCCAGCCAGCACAGCAGCGAGGCGTTGCCCCAGTGTGATTGGCAGGTAAGGAAAGGTGGGAGGCTGCTGCAGGGACCCAGTGCAGAAAGCACAGCTGAGTGTGGCCTAGGCAGGCCTGAAGAGGTTTGCAGTTTGGGGTGTGTTTAGGAGCTGGAGCCTCAAGCGTTATGCTGGTTTGGCCCCATGGGTAGTGGGGAGGAGAATGCAGGTGACTGGATTGTTGTCACAGTGTCCCTCAGAGCAGGGGTGGGGTGGTGGTCTGAAGAACGAGAAGGGGAGGGGCAGCAGTGTGGAGTCGGGGCAAGCCTGAGGCTGGAATAAGCTTGGTGTGCTGTGGGAACACAGAAGATGCCAGGACTGGAGCCTGTCACTGAGCACAAAAGTTCTGGGGAGCACATGGGGCCCTCATTCTGCTGCAGAGGGAATTGTGTGCAGGTCAGGGGGCCTTTCTCTGACAGAGCTGCCCATCAGAGGCTGGGTGAGCACAGAGCACAGGATTCAGTGCCTGTCGGATATGCATGTGACCCTGGCTTCCATCGCCAGCACTGCAAAGCCAATAATAATAAAAATAAAAATAATAAAACCCGAAAGATCTGATTACTATGACCTGAAGCTGAGCAGCTCAAGTGTGAGATCTGCTCTTACCAGTTTGAAACAGTCACCCTGGCTCCCGTGTGCAGTGAGACTTGGGTGGGCTCCACACGCCTGGGACAGAGTGGAGAAGGCTGCAGCTTGGGGGGGGTGTCTTTCACATTGCTCCTTAGAGGCATTTCCTGCCTTAGGACCCAGTAGTGTCACCTCTAGGCATGTCCTGGAATTGCAAGAAAAGACTCACACCAGTATTTGTACATTTACACACTTAGCAGGATCCCTCCCAGAAGCCAACAGGCAGAGCACTGCAAGTGCTCTCCAGTGGGCAGAGAGATAAAGACAAAGCCTTCCCTTGGTCACTGAGCCCAGGGCTTTGCCTGCCCCATCACTAAGCTGCGTCATCAGTCCAAACGACAATGTTATTTTTTTTGTTTTTTGTTTTTTTGGTTTTTACGAGACAGGGTTTCTCTGTATTGTTTCAGAGGCTATCAGTCCAGCCCGGCCTCGAACTCACAGAGATCCGCCTGCCTCTGCCTCCCGAGTGCTGGGATTAAAGGCGTGCGCCACCGCCGCCCGGCCGACAATGTTATTTTTATTTTCTGTGTGTGGGTGTTTTGTCTAATGTGTGCCCATGTATGTGCCTTGTGTCCAAGGGGACCAGAAGGCGACCTCAGATCCTCTGAAACTGGGTTATAAATGGTTGTAAGCCACCATGTGTGTACTGGGAACTAAATCCAGGTCCTCTGCAAGAGTAACCAGTGCTCTTACCCATTGAGTCATCTTTCCACCCCCCCCAAACAAAATTTTATACAGTGCAATACAACCAGCCCTTAAAAGGAAGGGGATTCTGCTACATGGTACAGTATGGGTAGCCCTGAGGACAGTGACTCAGTGACATGCATGCTCTGCTGTGGACGTGTGACTCTGGTTCCATTCTTATGTGGTGGCTGTCAGATTACTAGGGACAGAAGTTGGTGGTGTCAGAATTGGGTAGGGGTTAGCCTCTAGTGGGTTTGTCATCCTAGTTGGAGATGGACAGTGATCTGAATGTTCTCCGTGCTGCTGTTGTACATCTGGCAAGGTTGGGGTGTTGAATTTTGTGCTGTGTACATCTTGCCTTGTTTTTTAAAGTGTGCCCCCTGGAGTTGGGTGCAGGTCTCCTTCAGTGAGTGGGACCCTGAGCAGACAAAGCAGCTGTCCTGGTAAGGGTTGGGTCTGCTGCACATGGGCTTGGTAATGACCCTGGCCTGGCCTCAGGAGCCTCTCCCAAGGATGCTTTGTCCGTTGACAGGATGCTCACGAGTTATTCCATGTCATCACCTCATCACTGGAAGACGAGCGAGACCGCCAGCCTCGAGTCACTCATCTGTTTGATGTTCATTCCCTGGAGGTAATGTCTTCAGTGTCAGTCTGTGCATGTTCCGTACGTACGTACGTACAGAACACAGCCTTTGTCAGACCCAGTAACCAGGAGGTGTGAGGCTGGCAAACCTTAAACTGCACACTTGGTGTGTGTGCTGGGGTGGCCCGCTCTTCAAGAGGGCTCGTGCTGCAGCATGGGTTGTATTGGAGGAGAGAATGGCTTGTTTTTCCGCTAGTAGAGGGGGTGAGGGCCACGGTTCCCTGAGTCAGTGCTCATCCGCCTGTAACAGAGTAAAGAGTTGACTGTCGAAGGGGAGTATCCCAGAGAGAAGAGCCATGTTTTTCCAGCCGCTATAAAAGAATTCATGCAGAAGCCAACCGGAGGGGCGGTCAGTGCTGCCTTCAGAAAGTGGCTGTGGACAGCATTGGCTTTGATGGTGCAGGTGGCTCAGAGACTCGTGCAGTTCCTGGGTGGTGAGGGCGGCTTATAGGGGTTGCAGTTGGGTTTCAGTCTCTCTCTTTTCTCCCTACAGCAGCAGTCAGAAACGACGCCCAGACAAGTCACCTGCCACACGAGAGGTAGTCCTTTTTCATTGATTAGATGTGTATTTCTAGAGAAGAGACTGAGAACAAACTGTGCCTTTTGCACAGGACACACTGGCTGTGTCTTTCCTGCCAGCCGGGCCTGGGCTGGGCCTCCACACATCTGCTGAGGGGCTGGAGTGTTCTGGAGACAGCTTTGAGTGAAATGCTCAGCTGACTCAGCCCCTCTCACAACTTCCTCTACTGTAAGCTCCCTCCACCCCCCTGAATTTTAGGTCTTGGGAAAAAGTCAGTAAACAGAACCTGTCCTTCAGCATTTCCCCTTTGGCCAGCTTTCACTGCACAGTATCATAGCTCTCTTGAGAAATTTTGTTTTCTCGTAGTAGAAACCAGAACAGCTTCTAGATCAGTCGTCAGGCTGGTGGTCAGTCTGAAGCAGTGTCAGCGTTTTTTTTTTTTTTTTTTTTTTTTGTTTTGTTTTGTTTTTTGGTTTCTTGAGACAGGGTTTCTCTGTATTGTTTTGGAGCCTGTCCTGGAACTCTTTAGACCAGGCTGGTCTCGAACTCACAGAGACCCACCTGCCTCTGCCTCCCTAGTGCTGGGATTAAAGGCATGGCCACCACCGCCGGCTGAGAATTTCTTTTTCTTTTCTTTCTTCCTTCCTTCCTTTCTTTCTTTCTTTTTTTCCTTCCTTCCTCCTTCCTTTTTTCTTTCTTTCTTTCAAAGATTTATTTATTAAATATACACCGTTCTTCGTGCAAGTATGCCTGCCTGCCAGAAGAGGCTGCCAGATCTTATTACAGATGGTTGTGAACCACCATGTGGGTGCTGGAAATTCAACTCAGGACCTCTGGAAGAGTTGCCAGTGCTCTTAACCACCGAGCCATCTCTCCAGCCCTAGAGAGAATTTCTCACTAGTGTTTTGTTCACTAACTTCCATCCTAACCAAGGAGCAGCCAGATTCTCTAGAAGTTGTTTATTCAGGTTGTTTCTGACTTCCCTTTCTTTACAGACTGCCTTTGCCTCCACCTGCCTCTCTTAAGATAGCATCCTCCTGCCCTCTCTGAGGTAGCATCCTTCTCTCCTCCTGCCCTCTCTGACATATGCATCTGTAGCTCTCACGTAGCATCCTTCTTGGTGTCTGCTCCGTGGTACCCAGCCTCACACATGGGCCTTAAGACTCTTCTGTGAGCATGAAACTGAAGTCAGCAAGGAAAAGTCGCTGTGCTTCACAGAACCCCTTCCTATGGGAGGAATGTGTGCTGTGTGCTAAGGAGGGTGGAGTCTGATTGGGTGACTGATATGTCACATGCTTTGCTTCCAGGGTCTCCTCACCCCACGTCCAATCACTGGAAGTCTCAACACCCTTTCCATGGAAGACTTACTAGTAATATGGTGTGCAAGCACTGTGAGCACCAGGTAAGTGACTGCCCCTCCATGACATCCCCAGGGAGACTATGTTTAAGTCAGGATGCAGGATAGGGCCCAGAGAGTGCAGACTAGCCTCGGGGCAGCCTTGGCAATTGCCCACACTCTGTACACTTGGGTCAGTGTCACTTGACCCTGGGACGGCATCTGTCCTGAGAGTCGCAGGTGTGGCATGCTGTCCATTGCAGGATTTCAGATCCTAAGCTTGAGTCTGTCTGCTTGTGATGCACACAGCAGATTTGAGGAGTAGATTCTGTCTTCCAACGTCTCAGTCCCGAACAGCGCTGCTTTTCTCTAGCGCTGTGCAAAGTAGGCAGACAGACCTCACCTAGGAGCCCATTTCTGTCCATCATATGCCGCCCAAATGGTCCTGCTTAAAGTCTTTCCAGGGGCTGAAGGTCTAAGCCACCCCGTCACCTCACACGGGGGCGCCTCACTGCAGCATGGCATCTGTGCAGACTCCCGAATCCCTGGGTACTGCTAATGCAGTCTTGCTCTGTGGCCATCTACAGTTGCCTGCTGACCCCCTAGGCCTCAACCACACCCGTTTGTGGCGCTCTCAGTGGCTCTGATGCAGACATGTGTATTCCCCAAGTTGCTGGGTGGGGTGCCATTTCCATGTTGCTGTTTACTCTTGCTGTGCTTTGTGTCACGGTGTTACTTTAGTGTCTGAATAGTAAACCACTCCATTTGTTGAATCTGAGCTCTCTTTGGATTTTCTGCAATATTTGTTTCAGAGTCCTGTTCGATTTGATACCTTTGACAGCCTTTCCCTCAGTATTCCAGCTGCCACTTGGGTATGTACACATCTGTGGCTTATTTGGACTACCCCGAAAGGGCTTTGAGGCATTTACTGTGGCCCAGGTACTAAGTATCATTCAGACATGTGACTGGCCAAGTCACTTAGCTCTGATGTGAGAGCCCGACTGTGGGAGAGGGAAGGTGACCCTTGATCTCACTGAAGACGTCAGCGTTTTGAAGGTTTGTGCTTTGTGCAGACATCTCAGACTGTAAGATTATAGCTCTGTGTGCAGGTGCACAGTCCCCAAAGCTCCGCCCCTCTCCTGAGCCTGTGCAGGTACACATTCCCTGCTAATGTCCCTGTCCTCCCAGGCCTGTGCAGGTGCACACACGGTCCCTGCTACCCCCCCAGGCCTGTGCAGGTGCACACACGGTCCTCACTCTCCCCAGGCCTGTGCAGGTGCACACACGGTCCCTGCTACCCCCAGGCCTGTGCAGGTGCACACACAGTCCTCACTCTCCCCAGGCCTGTGCAGGTGCACAGTCCCCATAGCTCTGCCCCTCCTGAGCCTGTCAGCAGTAGAAGTGTTGTGTTTGTGGAGCTCTGTGCCTGTGTACTCCTGCCATCTGCCAATGCTTCAGTGTGGCTCTCCTAGAGCGTTCTAACTGCCCACTCCTGCTCTAGGGGCACCCGCTGACGCTGGACCACTGCCTTCATCATTTCATCTCATCCGAGTCAGTGCGAGACGTTGTGTGTGACAACTGTACCAAGGTATGCCTTACAGCGTCACCTCCCAGCTGACACCAGGTGCTTTTGTAGTACTCTCATGCCGTGCCCCTGAGCTTCCAGCTACATGTGCCCTGGGCATCTTTTAGCCTCTGTCATTTCCCTTGCCTTGGTTTGCAGAGTGGCTGCCTATAATTTTGTTTCCCAGATGAGTTTTGTTTCTTGCACAGTGTTTACAGAAGAAATTTTAAGCTTTGTGCATAGAGCTGAGCCCACCCACTCCATTTTGTAGCTCCTCCATCCCACTGTCTTGTGTGCACCTTTTCCTTGTGCCAGCCCTCCTGAATCCAGAGCGCACACACACACACACACACACATGCATACACACACGTGCATACACATACACACACGCACGCATACATACTCACACACCACACACGGCCCACTCCACCATGGATAATGATTCCTGGAAGCTGCATTCCTGGAACTTCCTGCTCAACCTGTAGGCAGCTTCTCTGAAGTCTCTTCTTTCCCAGCAATTGCTCTGTTAATGTAATCTCTTGGAGTGAGTCTTGGAAGTTCCAGTGACCTTCCTGAGCCTTGCATGTCCCTGTGGATTTCCAGGGCCTCCTGAGCTTGCCTGCACACTGGAGAAAGAAAGCTTTAGTTTGAGAAAGTGGGACCTTGGGGAGTACTAGGCAGCCACTGGTAGGACAATATACTGCTCATGGGCGCCCTCTGGTGTCTATGTAGAGAACTGACTGCTGCTCCACCTCCAGGGTCTTGGGGCACTACTTTGGGACTACCACTGGTGCTGAAATCCACTTCCTGTCACAGTCCCACTATCAGCAGAAACTACTTGGTGATTCTGAGGCTTTCTCAGGCAGGGAAGTTCAAGGCATCCAGCATTGTAGATGGGGGCTTCTTTCCCACCTGGTCCTGCCTCCCTTCAGTCCCAAATAAACACTGAGGCTTATATTAATTAGAACCTGTTTGGCCAATGGCTCAGGCCTCTTACTGGCTAGCTCTTTTCTTAATTATTAACCCATTTTTAAAATTAATCTAAGTATTTCCATGTGGTCTTATCTTACCAGAGAATGCCTAGAGTGTCCTATCTTCCTGGTAACTACATGGCATCTCCTTCTGGTGGCTTCTCTCTCTTTTCTCTACCCAGAAATCTCCTCATTGGGTAGTGCCACCTATACTTCCTGCCTGGCTACTGGCCAATCAGTGTTTTATTCATCAACCAGTAAGAGAAACATATATGCAGAAGGACATCCCCATCACAGCACTGTCCCCAAAAGCCACCCAAGAGAGACGCCTGAGCAAAGTGTATAGGTTTGGGCATCATCCAGCCCTCCTGCGCCTCCTGTGAATGGGTTGGAGAGGGTGAGGAAAGGAGGGTCTGGGGAACCCACAGGGTTGGTTTTCAGGGTTATTTATTTCATGTGTATGAGTGCTTTGCCTGCGCGTGAGACTCTGCACCTTGTGTCGGGCGTCCACACAAGTCAGAAGAGAGCACGGGTCCCCTGGAACTGGAGTGACTGAAGGTTGTGAGCCACCATGTGGGTGCTGGGAACCAAACCAGGGTCCTCTGCGAGAGCACCAAGTGCTCTAAACTGCTGAGACAGACCTCCGTAGCCCTCTCCGCAGAATTTTTAAAGAGGAGATTTGAGAAGTTCATGCTTCGGCGTTCCACTTGGTCTCCCTCCATGGCTCCTGTCATTTAATGACTAAGAGGAAAGCGGGAGGTGGGCCTGAAGCTCCGGTAGCTGCCTGTCCCTGGACCTCGCTGACATGTGCTGTTGCTTTATTGCAGATTGAGGCTAAAGGAGCGTTGACTGGGGACAAGGTAGAGCACCAGAGGACCACTTTCGTTAAGCAGCTGAAGCTGGGAAAGGTCAGCCCGCCTGTGCATGTGTCGGCCATGCTTTGGGGGCCTCTGTGAGCCCCTGAAACACCTTGCACTGCACTTTCCTCTCTGCCCACAGCTGCCCCAGTGCCTCTGTATCCATCTCCAGCGCCTCAGCTGGTCCAGCCATGGCACGCCCTTGAAGCGGCATGAGCATGTGCAGTTTAACGAGTTCCTGATGATGGACTTCTATAAGTACCGCCTCCTGGGACACAAACCCAGTCAGCATGGCCCCAAAGCCAGCGAGAACCTAGGGTCTGCCCTGGAACTGCAGGACACACAAGCAGCCCCGAAGCCAGGTGTGTGCTGTGGGACACTCTGCACAGAGAGGGGTTTGCTGTTCCCATTTTTAGCTCTTATGGCATTCATGCTGGCTGTGCATGGGTTAGCTAACCTCATAATAGCAGGATTGGGGGTAGAAGGGAAATGGCTTGTTGCTTCTTCTTTGCGGCACTAGGGTCAGAACCCAGTACCTCACTTCTACTAGGCAAGTACTCTCCCTGAACTATGGCCCAGCCAGCATTTCCTAAGAGCTGAAATTACACAGTAATGAGACATGGGGTGTTAAAACTGTCACAGGGCCAGCAAGTTGGCTTGTAGTAAAAGCAATCTTAGTTAAATCCTTGGAACTGACGTAAAGGTAGAAGAAGAAAACATGTTCCACAGAGTTGTTTTCTGACCTCCACACACTTGTAACATGTATCTATGTAATAATAATAGTACAGTTCAAAAATGTGAAAACATGAATAGGACATGTAACAGCCAGGGCTGTTACACAGAGATATCCTGTCATTTTTGTTTGTTCGTTTGTTTGTTTATTTTTTTCAAGGCAGGATTTCTTTGTAGCTTTGGAGCCTATGCTAGAGCTCGCTCTGTAGACCAAGCTGGCCTTGAACTCCCAGAGATCCGACTGCCTCTACCTCGACAGTGCTGGAATTAAAGGTGTGTGCCATCATTACCCAGCAGAGAAACCCTATCTTGAAAAAAAAAAAAAAAACAAGAACAAAAGACAAGAGAAAGAAAAAAGGAAAAAAATTAAAAAAAAATAAAATAAAAGCTATCAAAGATGGAACGGTGCAGGGAGACAGTGTGGGGCTGCCATCTTGCTTTTGATCTTTTAACTGAACCTCCTTTGGGCTGACAGTCTGTGGCTGCCTCACTGGGTCTTTTGGAAACCCACCTACCTTTTTTTTTTTTTTTTTTTTTTTTTTGGTTTCTCTGTACCTTTGGAGGCTGTCCTGGAACTCACTTTGTAGACCAGGCTGGTCTCGAACTCACAGAGATCTGCCTGCCTCTGCCTCCCGAGTGCTGGGATTAAAGGCGTGCGCCACCAACGCCCGGCCACCCGCCTACCTCTTTACCTCACTTCTTGATGTCTTCGTTCCGTTAGGCAAGGCAGCTCTGCCTCTGCTGGGAAGGATTTCAGGCTCCACAGTGAAATGATTGGGGAAAATGGCCGAGAATGTGTTAGGCACCTGTCCTGAAGCTGTCTTTTGTGACCTACAAGTTTGTAGGGTTGTACAAAAGGATGGCTTGCAGGAGCCTGACTGGTTTTCTACACTCCCCTACTTTACTGGCTTAGAGACCTCGTGTGTGTGTGTGTGTGTGTGTGTGTGTGTGTGTGTGTGTGTGTGTGTGTGTGTGTGTGCGCGCGTGCGTGCGTGCCTGCCTGCACGCCATCCATGTGGAATCCTGGATTCTCTCATTTCCCTGGAACTTGTCGAGAAGGCTAGTCTGACTGGCCAGTGAGCCAAGTCTCTACATGGCTCTTCCTCCTCAGCAATAAGATTGCCAGGGCTTGGGCCTCCATAAGTGGCTTTTTTTTTGAACAGGGTCATAATGTAGACCAGACTGGCCTCATACTTAAAAGGATCTGACTCCCTCTGCCTCCCAAGTGCTGGTATTAAAGGTGTGTGCCAGGGGCTAGGCAGTAGTTCTCAACCTTGCTAATACTACAGCCCTTAGCATAGTTCCTCATGTTGTGATGACCCCCAACCATAAAATTATTTTCATTATCATAGTTCAACAAACTTTTTGTTACTGTTATATCTGATGTATAGGACATCTGATATGTGACCCTTGTGAAAGGGTCATTTGACTCCCCCCAAAGGGGTTCCAACCCCCAGGTTTGAGAACCACTGGTCTAGAGAGATGGCTCAGGGGTTAAGGGCACCTTCTGCTCTTCCAGAGGATCTGGGTTTGATTTCCAGCACCCACACGGCAGCTCACAACTGCCTGTGATTCTAGTTCCAGGGATCCAGTACTTTCCTCTGACCTTCATGGACACCAGGCTCTCAGATGGCACACATACGCCCGTGCAGGCAAAACACATACACGTGAAAGAAAACTTAAAAATTAAAAAAAAAGTGACACCACACCCAGCTTCTGACTTTTAAAAAAGTGTAGGTTCTGAGGCTCAAACTCAATTCTACGTTTGTAACAATTGCGGTACTGATCAAAGCTGTTTCCCAGCCCTCCTCCTCCCGCCCCTCTGCTCTGCTCTCCTCTCCTCTGCTGTCCTCTCCTCTCCTCTCCTCTCCCCTCCTCTCCCCTCCCCTCCCCTCCCTTCTCCTCTCCTCTCCTCTCCTCCCCTCTCCTCGCCCCTCTCTTCCCCTCCCTTTCCTTTCTCCCCTCCTCCCACCTCACCTCTTCTTGCTACAATTGCATGGCCTGGCAAAGATGTCACTTCAAGGAGACTGTGGTTTGCTCTCTGACTAGATGTGATGTTTGAAAGAAAATGGCCCCTAAAGGCAGTGTTGGAGGAAGTGAGTCACTGTGGGGGCGGGCTTTGAGGTCTCTTTTCTCAAACTTCACTCAGTGTGACAGTCAGTGGACTTCCTGCTGCCTTCTGCTCAAGATGTAGCCAGTATCACATCTGCCAGCAAGCCACTGTGCTCCCCACCATGATGGTAATGGACTAGCCCTCGAACTGTAAGCCATCGCCTCAATTAAATGTTTTCTTTATAAGAGTTGCTGTGGTCATGGTGTCTCTTCACAGCGATGAAAACGTAAACTAAGATACCGTATGAACGTGAAGAACAGCTCAGGCAGGGAGAGCCTCAGCCTCTGGCCCTTACTTCAGACTGAGCGCCTCTCCTGCTTCCTCTCCCAGTCTGCAGGGCGGTCCCCAGTGTTCAGAGCATGGTGGCTGTGAGTGCAAAAGGCAGCAGGGAGCTACTTAGTGTGTGCAGCCCCGCATGTGCTCCTGAAGGAAGGACATGTGTGAAATCTGGACTGCTGTGTGCTCTCACACGGGTGTCAGAAGCTGACAGCTAGTGAGAAGGCCTGGAGTGCCCTGACGAAGTGAGGGCCATTTCCGGTGGTTACTGCTCAGGAGAGTGGAGGCTGGAGCACCCCAGAGTCCGAGTTCCCTTCCAGCACAGAGCCTCCCACCTCACTGGTGGTGTTGTTGTTGTTGTTGTTGTTTGGTTGAGTTTTTCAAAACAGGATTTCTTTGGCAGCCTTGGCTGCCCTAGAACTCACTCTGTACACCAGACTGGCCCCAGAGATCCTCCTGCCTCTGCCTCTCAAGTGCTGGTATTAAAGGTGCACACCACCATGCCCGGCTTCACCTCACTATTCACAGAGCCTCGGTTTGCAGCAGAAGCAGGGACTTCTGTTCACCTGGCAATGCCGTTGGCAGGTGCGAGGTCCCTGCGCAGTGCAGTTGCTGTGACATAGACACTGAACAAAGGTAGGAGAATTCACACATCAGTGCTGCGGGAGTGTGCCTCAGGGTGAGTGGATACAGGTGGGGGCCAGCCATTGTGCTCCTTGCCCATGCCTGGCACCTGCAGGCAGAGGTGGCATTTCAGAGCTAGCTTGGGCTACACTGCATGACCCTGTCTGCAACCAAGCAGAAACCACAACCGATTGTTTGCACAGATCAGCTGCCCAGCTCCATGACTCAGGTCCTTTTCTCTTACAGGTCTGAGCCAGCCAGGGGCCCCCAAGACACAGATTTTTATGAATGGCGCCTGTTCCTCGTCTCTGTTACCAGCCCTGCCCTCCCCGGTGGCCTTCTCTCTGCCGGTGGCTCCTGACTACAGGTGAGGAGGGTGACTGAGGAGTCCACCACACACTCACAGTGGCTCTACAGTTCTCAGTGTCCCCACGCGCTTTTCGCCAAAAGAATGAAAGAGTAATTTTCTCTTTCATTTTAAGGTACAATAGCATCCTTACTCCATTAGTGTCCAACACAGGAGTATTTTTAAAGTAAAAATTAGGGAAGCATGTGAAATCTGCATGTGTGTGCACACATATGTAGCATATGAAGAGATCTGTTTTCTGGGATTCCAGCTAGGCAGCCAGTGCTAACTTTAGTTAGCCTCGTTGGAAGCATGTGTCCCGTTCAGTGAATATCTTGCTGTATTTAACAGTGTGCATGTGTCCCGTTCAGTGAATATCTTGCTGTATTTAACAGTGTACCATGTGTACCGTTGCACTCACATCTTAGGTGTAACACATAGGTTTTCTGTTTGGCTTTGCCACAAGGCTTGCTTCTGTCATAACCACTGGTATTTTTACCCCCACCAGCTCCTCCACATACCTATTCCGCTTGATGGCAGTTGTCGTCCACCATGGAGACATGCACTCTGGACACTTTGTCACCTATAGGCGGTCACCACCTTCAGCCAAGAACCCTCTCTCAACCAGCAACCAATGGCTGTGGATTTCCGATGACACCGTCCGCAAGGCCAGCCTGCAGGAGGTCTTGTCTTCTAGTGCTTACCTGCTGTTCTATGAGCGAGTTCTGTCAAGGGTACAGCAGCAGGGCCGGGAGTACAGGGCTGAGGAGTGACAGGCCAGCCCAGAGCCGGGGCCCATGGTGAGGCCCACAGTCCATGCGTACACGTGCAAGCCAGCCCCTCTAGAGCCCCTCAGCCTTCTGTGTATTCTGAGAGCAGGCTCCACATGGGAGCCAGTCCTACGCAGCGCTGCCAGGGTGTACCAGAAGGTGTCCTCGTGTGGGGATAGCATCCATTGTGACACAGGTCATTAAAAGAAACAGACTCCAGGAGCCACCCTTTCTATACTGTAATATGCTAGGTGTTATCAGAGGGCACTGCCTTTGTCTGATCCTCTGACATTTCAGCATAGATCTTTATTTTTTAATAAGAGGCCCATAAATAATATTGACAAGAATTAGTGAAATTATTAAAGGCAACAATTCAGAAGAAAAGTGCCTTTCCCTTCCAGTTGTTCTGAGCACAGGCATGACCTAAGAGTCATGGGCATGATGTTGGGAAAGCCCTCGTGCTTCCCAGTTCCTTGGAGGTAAAAAGGATGATTAAGAATGCCTCAACAGCACGGTGGCTCACGCTGGAATCCCAGCACTCAGAGGCTGAGGCAGGAGGATCACTGCAAGTTCTGGGCCAGCCTGGGCTACATAGTAAAACCTTGTCTCCTTCCACAAAGCCTCAAGAACACCTCCCCACCTTAGGGTATGCCTTTTGGAATCTTCAGTTCTTTATGTGTAGTCAAGGTCACTTGCCGATCCCACCTGGATGAGAGGTGGTCCTAGCCTCTTCCAAAACTGTGATGTCTACACTGCTGCTCTCTGCTACCTAAGATGGCTCGCTTGCTGTTATCAGTTGCCCATAACAGGGTTTACAGGCAAGAGCCTGGGCAAGGTGACCTAAGAGCTGAGCCGGGAAGAGAGTGCACTGGCCAGGACTGCAATCTCTCTGAACCTTGCTTTCTTAGAGGTCAGTGAGAAGGAAAGCAGCGTGACGTCTGAACAGAACTGTGTAGTGGCATCTTGTTCTGCCAGTGGACTTGGGGTGGTGGCCACACATTAGGGTACACTGGGCATTTTCTTCCCTTCTCAGATAAGATTCACAAAGCCCAGGGATGGAGAATCTCAATGGCACAATAGTACCTATGTGTTAGCTAAATTTGTAATTAAAAAATGAAACCAAACCAAAATCGGATTGACGCTTCTAAGATTTGGAAGCAGACCTATCCAGAGGCCGCTGAGATACGGCCAAGGACGTGTGTTCTCCGCAACAGTAAGCTGACAGACATTCCAGATGTGCCTGGGCATCAGCTTTGAGATCAGGTCTCACTGTGCACCCTGAGGACTCAGACTCTGAGACTGCTGTGCTTGTCCCTCCAAGCCATGGCTCCCACAGCAGGAGCGGCTGAACCACCTGTGCGGCCCAGGCGGCCCCCAGACCTGGCTTTTGGGCTGAGGCGAATGCACAAGTGCTCGGTCACTTGGATTACTTGTGATCTTAGATCACTTTGCAGGGCTGTAGGCTCCAGTCGTTGGTACTGCCACTCGTTCCAAGTCAGCGAGGGAGGAAGAGGTGACCAAGGACAAGTGTGGGATGCTGTAAACCTGACCGAGTGCTACTGTCTTTCCTCATTTTGTAAATTATTAGACATTAGGTAGCGACCAATGATGATTTCTAGGTTTAAGTTATTCATAGTAGGTAGCGTCTTCCTGGAAAAACCTAAGTTAAGCTAGTACTTATGCTGTAGGCTGCTGAGTGTGGAGCTGCTAAAGGCATTTTTGTATCTGCTGTGTCTATAGCAATAAAGACGGTTTGTTAGGAAACTCTCAAGTGGTGGGCTTTAGTCTTTTTAAGAAGGGTTTATGGACAGCAGACTACTGTAAACTTGTGAAGATCTCTGCCTCTGGAGTGCTCATGTTAAAGATGTGCTGCACACCAGGCCTCAGTGGTCTTCTGTTGTGAGCATAGTGTCCTCCTCCCAAACTGGTAAACCCCTTCTTCAAGCAAAAAGAGAAAACAAAGTACTGACTATTAGAAATAACAGATGACTTGGCAGTTAGGAGCATTGCTGTTCTTGCAGCACCTGGCTCAGTCAGCTCAGCTCACAACCACCTGTAACTCCAGCACCAGGTGATCTTACGCCCTCTTCTGGCCTCCCTGGGCACCTGCACATACGTTGCACCCACACATAAAAATAATAAACATTTTATTTCTTAGTAGGTAATATTTTCCGAAAAGTCAAGTTGACCCGAGGAGCCAGGACCTTCTTGCGGATGGGGAGACTGTGGTACCAATGCGTGTTGGTGGGGTGGTTCATCATCAGTAGGCTTCCGTGGGCCAGCTGCAGCCTGACTACCTCCACTGTCCGTCGGGGCCTCTTCCCTCGGGAGTCTTTGTGCCGGAAGAGGAAGTCTCTGCAGGCCCCAAAGGAGACAGATGCGATGGGACTCCCAGGGGCCAGTTCTCTCTCATCGTCTCTGTGCTCTCCGATGTGGTCGCAACCATCTTTGTACCTGTAGTGGGAAAGCAATGACAATGCTGAAGAAACCCCCCCCCATCACCTGCTGATGCCGCAGGTCCTTACCCTCTTGCAGCCTGACCGTCTTGGCCAAGCGTGGTGGCATGAATGAGGTCCCCACAGGCTCATGTCTGCATGCCTGGTCCCCAGTTGGTGGGACTTTGGGGCCGATCAGGAGGTGTGGCCTTGTCGGTTGGGCTTTGAAGTTTTAAAAGCTCACACCAAGCCAGGTGTCTGTCTGTCTGTCTCTCTCTCTCTCTGCTGCCTGCAGATCAGAATGTAAAGTTCTCAGCTACTGCTCCAGGGCCACGGTGATGATCATGGACTCTGTAAAACCGTAAGCAAGCCTCAGGGAAACGCTCTTTTATAAGAGTTGCTTTGGTCATGGTGTGTCCTCACAGCAACAGAACAACGACTAGGACATTTAGTTACTTCTTGTAATGCTTGCAGAGCTCGCACACCAAATCAAATAGCTGTGCCTTCCAGCCACCAGGTTCAGGTAAGGAAAACCTACCATACTTCTGCTGCGCACACACCAGCCATGAGCCTGTGCAGTCTGGCCCTGCCCTTCATACTCTTTCTCTCCCCAGTGCCTCATCTCCAGCCACACCAAAGGGATTTCCACTCCATGGACACCATGCGCTTCCTCTGCTCTATTCCGGATGACTGTATCTCTGCTCTAGCTAGTTCCAGGTCAAATGTCACTGCCTTGAGGAACTTCCCTCTAACCATCCCTTTAGCCCAGGCCCCGGAGCCTGGCTGTTCTGTCCTCAGAACACACTGCTGGCTGCTATAATGGAAGCAGGGTGCTGCAGGTGGGGGTTAGGGATGTGCTGAGTGTCCTGGTGCACAGGTCAACCCCACAGAAAAGTACTTCCTGGCCCCAAATGTGAGCAGTAGTGCGCCCATCCTGAATCCCTGTCCCAACCCCAGCCCTACCCTCAGTCCAATCAATCTGTTTAACTTCTCCAGGAACCTCACCCAACCCCTCACTTCCTCCTCACATTTCTGTGTGTGGGGGTTCATGCGCGGGAGTTCAGGTACTCGTGGAGGCTAGAGGTGTGGGGATTCCCTGGAGCTGGGGCTGGAAACTGAATTTGGGTTCTCTACAAGGGTAGCACTCACATCTCTCTGATCCTGGAAAGTCCTTAGCCCTCATCCAGTACAGAAGGGTTGTCACAAGTGAACAAAGCGTGGTGGAGTCCTGAACTCTTCCCCGTGGAGGAAATGTTACCTGTTAATGAGCACAAAGTTGAAGCTCTGCCCTGTGACCTTGCAGACTCGATCGCGAACACGCTCCAGAACTGGAATCCAGGGCTTTGGTGTCAGTGTAAGACCAGAAAACGTGTATGTCAGTCCAGCATCTCCATAGGTCGCCTGCTTCCTGGGAACGCTATGCCACTTCCCAAACACCTGGACCTTGGCCAGTGCACCTGTGCAGAAGAAATGGCTGCTCCATCCCTGGTCCTCAAGGGATGCAGACAGGAGTCCAATACACTCATCTGCTGGTTACTCAAAAGGGAGGGAACTAGAAAGTTCCTCTGTTCCTTGTGGATAATGCCCAGTTGGGGACCTTATCCCCTAAGTCACTGTGGCGTGTTCTCACTTTCTTGAAAGGGTATGACAGCGCACCCCTGTAATCTCATCACTCTGGCGCTGTTGTAGGCAGAACACAAGTTCCAGGTTAGTGTGTCTCAAAAGACAAAAGGGTTGGAAAGGTGGTTCAGCTGGTAAAGTGCCCGCCACAAGGTGCAGCTGCATGGGCCTCCAGTCCCGGTGCAGGGGGCTCACTGGCCAGCTGCTCCAGCTGGATCTCCCAAGTTCCAGACTCAGCAAGAGACCCTATCTCAGGCTGGAGAGATGGCTCAGAGGTTAAGAACATTGGCTGCTCTTCCAGAGGTCCTGAGTTCAATTCCCAACAACCACATGGTAGCTCACAACCATCTGTAATGAGACCTGGTGCCACCTTCTGGCCTGCAGGCAGAAAAAAAATAAGCCACAAAAAAAACCCCTGGTATCTCAAAAAATGAGGAGGTCCCCAGCTGGCATTATACAACACACGAGGGGCAGAAGGAATGCAAACAACGTACTGAATACATTGGACAGGGCACAGACACACAAAACATGTAGACACTAGCATTAAATCAGTGAGCCACAAAAACAAAGCGACAAGAAAGTACAGCAGGGGCTTAGGACAAAGGGTTCTGTAGGAGTGGGGATGAGAAAACAACCAAGACATACCATATATATCCACGAGATTGTTGAATTAAAAAACAAACTACAAGCCGGGCGGTGGTGGCGCACGCCTTTAATCCCAGCACTCGGGAGGCATAGGCAGGCAGATCTCTGTGAGTTCGAGGCCGGGCTGGACCGACAGCCTCCAAAACAATACAGAGAAACCCTATCTTGTAAAGACAAAACAAAACAAAACAAAAAAACCAAAAACAAACTACAAATGACTTGGTCTAGAGCAGCTGAGGCCCATCTTTCTCTTCTTTTTTTTTTTTTAAACAAAACACTGTTTTATGTATCAGGGTGGTGGTAGCACACACCTTTAATCCCAGTGCTGGAAAGGCAGAGGCAGGTGGACCTCTGTGAGTTCAAGGCCAGCCTGGTCTACAAGGTGAGTTCCTGTATAGCCAGGGCTACACAGAAACCCTGTCTCAAAAAACAAAGCAAAACAAAAAAACTTTTATGTACTTATGTATTTTATTTTACCTGCATATAATATCTGTGAAACCTGAATATGTCAGGTCCCTCAAAGGCTGGAAGAGGGTATCAGAGTGCCTAGGGCAGGAGGTACAGAGGGTTTGAGCTGCCAGGTCGCTGATGGGAATCAAACCTGGGTCCTCTGGGAGAGCAGCCAGTGCTCTTAACTGATGAGTCATCTTTCAACTCCTCATATATTTATTTATGGCCTTTAAAGACAGGGTCTCATGCAGCGCAGGCTGGCCTTGAACTAGCTCTCCATTAGCTGAGCAAGACCTTTAACTCTGGGTCCTCCTACCTCCTCCTCCCAAATTCTGAAATTGCAGGTACACACCTGGCTTTGGTTTTTAAAACTGCACGTTCATCGCCTTCACTGAAGTCGGAGCATCAAGAGACAGCTCTGAGCACAGTGAAGTCGAGTCATGGCTGGATGGTTTTGTCAGCTGTGTGCACTAAGGGCCTACGGATTCATGAAAGATGGGGATTATTGCAGCTCAGGCTGGTACAGACTCATCACAGCTTCTCAATATGTGGTCTCCGGGCAACCTGATGTTTGTTCATGCTGCAGTAGCACTGTACCACTGGCCTGGAAGACAGTTGTGCCTCTGGCTATTCTGACAGTATCACAAAGAACCCAAAATGGCTTGGGTTTGTTTTTTTGCTTTTTAACTGCCCAGGCAATTCCAATCAGTAGCCAGGTAATTTCGTTCTAGACCCTGTCACAGCCTGAGTTCACGCTTCTCCTAATAGAAACGGATTTTTTTTCACCACCTAAGCCTAACACCTAAAGTCTCCTGCTTACCGGTAAAATACTCCACTTCTTGCTCCAACTCTCGGAAGATTTCATCTGCCTCGGCTTTGCCAAACAGGACAGTGTAATCACAATTTAGACCTTGAGCGCGAAGGTGCTGCCAGTTGGGGCTCGGCTGGCCACCCGAGGCTCCTCCCAATGGGGCTGGCTCCTCCCCTCCCGCTCTGAGGTCGTCCAGGTCCGGCTTCACCAGGAACCTTTCCATCCCGCCGCCCTTTCACAGCCGTGGAGGCGAGTGGTCACGCAAGGGGGACCCGGGCTCAGTCCTCCACCCGCGTGCCACAGACACGTCTGCAAAGGGAACAGAGGGCATTAAAACTAGGAACTGGTCGGGCGTTGGTGACGCACGCCTTAAATCCCAGCACTCAGGAAGCAGAGGCAGGCGGATCTCTGTGAGTTCGAGGCCAGCTTGGTCTACAGAGTGAGTTCCAGGACAGCCTCCAAAGCCACAGAGAAACCCTGTCTCGAAAAAAAAAAAAAGGTGGTGGTTTTCGTAGCACAAGCTGACCTCCAGTGCACAATCCTCCTGCCTCGATCGCCCAGCCGCTGGGTTCGAGGCACGCAGCCCCGAGCCCGCCCCCTCCAGAATGCGCTCGCTCCGGCTGAAAACGCTACCGGTGGGAAGACGCATGCGCAGAGAGGCACGGAGTTCTCGCAAAACCACCCATAAAAGCAGAGTGTCTCTGTTCTGCGGGAAAGAGACCGATACGGGAGCTTAGCAGCGCTCCACCGGAGAGACTGAGGGAACGGGGCCACGCGCAAGGGCTCCGTACAGATGCACGCAGCCCCGGGCCCGCCCCCTCCAGAATGCGCTCGCTCCGGCGGAAAACGCTACCGGTAGGAAGACGCATGCGCAGAGAGGCACGGGTTCGCCCAAAGCCACCCAGAAAAGCAGGGTGTCTCTCTCCTGCGGGGAAGAGACCGACACGGGAGCTTAGCAGCGCTCCACCAGAGAGACCGAGGGAACGGGCCACGCGCGAGGGCTCCGTACAGATGCACGCAGCTCCGGCGCCACATCCGCCTCTGCTGTCCGCGCGGGACTTCCGGCACAGCGCCACCTATCGGCCCCTCTGCGCTCCGCAGGATGACGTTTGTTCCCAAAGGTTCTGCAAAGTCCTGGGGTCCCCTCACTGGGGGTCCAAGAGCCTGTTGTGGGGGACAATGTATAAACCTTCACATCTGACAAAGCCACAGCATTTTCTGACCCCCCACAGTCAAGATGGAGGCAATTACACCATGCCATATAATCCTACCCTAGGTACCAACTTAATGCCCCTGTCTACACAACCCTTACCTGCTCTGTCTGCTGTTCCTGGTTGCTTTTCCCAGAATTCCAAATAAATGGGATTATTCCAAATAAATGCTGTATAGTATTTTCTGCTTCTTTTTGTAAGCACAATGCTTTTAGATAAAACCGTGCTTTTTGTTTCTAGCATCAAGTACAGACATTATGTGTATATAATATACATAAGCATATGCCGTTTGCACCGGTTTTCCCCCTTTATTGCTGCTGAGTATTCTGGTGTGTGGCAGTCATTTCTGGCTCTAAGTGACACAGCAAAATCACTAAAATACTCATGCTCAAACTTTTTCTGTCGATGACTTTACTTCACTTGGTAGTGGGGTCGTACGGCCAGAGAGAAAGTATGTGTCTATGACCTGCTGCCTGTTGGAGCACATGCTGCTCTGTGATGGCGGCTCACTTCCTAAAAGCACTTCCTGTCCCTAAAAAGCACTTCCTGTCCTGGACTCCCGCACCTTCCAGCAAGACACAGGTCCTACCTCACCCACACTGTGTTTGGGAGGTGGAAACAGAAAAAGAACAGTGTAAGAAATGAGATCTCACACACAGAAAGGAAGGAAGAGAGAGAGAGAGAAATCACTTTGTATAGTATGGAAGTTATGAGCCGGGTGACAGCCTGGGGGTGGGATGGGGCAGAAGACCTCACAGGGGAGGACCCTAACCAGGACTGAAGCTTTCCAGGTGTAGGACAAAGGGCACGGGGTGCGAAGACCCCTGAGGGACTGCTGGAGAACAGCCAGGAGAACGGCTAAGATGTTGAGAATCTAGTCGGTTAAGATTCGAGAGCTGTAGCCCAGCCGGGCCTCTAACAAACCCATGTAACCAATATGGGCAATGGGGTTCGGATCCTCCTGCCTCCACCTCTCAGATGCTGGGGTTACAGGGCTTACCGCCGCTCAGAGACACAGGGAGGTTTAACCTACATCCTCAAAAGATCACTCGGTAGAAAAGAACAGCTGGGACTGCTCAAGCCTAGAGTTGGGGTCTTACTGGGGGGCAGGGTGTGTGGATAACTGAAAGGTGTTAAAGATCTGGAATGTGGGGAGGTAAGCGCGGGAGTGGTACAAAGTGGCTGCCCGGCATGCAGCAAAGACCCAGAGTTCAACGCCCAAGACTGAAAGGGGGGAAGGAGGAGAGCTGTGTCTGGGGAGGAGGAACAACCTCCGAGGCCTGTAAGTCTCCAATCTTTACAGTGACATCAGTGAGACTCGGAGCAAGGACGCGCGGGCAAGGTAGCTGTGCGGGCCCCGCAAGCCCCACCTCGCCAGGGGCGGGGCCGCAGCCCCTCCCACACATGCGCGCTGGGCCACACCGCCCCCAGCCCTGCCAGCCTCCCCGCCCCCAGTTGCAACTGGCGCGGGCGGCCGAGCGCCAAGTGTGAGCGCCGCTGTAAGCGTCCCGGAGCCCGGCCCTCGGTGCAGGCATGATCGGCCAGAAGACCCTCTACTCCTTCTTCTCCCCGACTCCCACTGGGAAGCGGAGCACGCGCAGCCCGGAGCCGGCCCTGGGGACCGACGTGGCGGCCGAGGACTGCGGCGATGAGGTGAGGCGTGCGGGACAGTGCGGGACTCGGGGACGACGAGGTTCCCGGTCAGGAGCACCGCGCACGCCGCTGCTCAGCCAGAACCGGACGCTTTACGCGTTCAAAACAGCCGCGCGCGTCCGGCGGCCGCCATGCCGAGACGCCAGCCAATGTAAACGGGGTTTGGCCGCCGCCGAGCCAATCGGTGTGCAGCATCCCCGCCCCTCCCTTCATGTGGTCCAATCAGAGGTGGCAGGGGGCGGGAGCGGTTTTGCCGCGAAAAGGCCGCGTGGGCCTCGGGCGCTGGGCGGGCGGAGCGCGGCGGCGGCTCACCCCGGATCCGCTCGGCCATGGGCGTGTTCGGGCCGCGGCCTTTGGGCTTGGCGCGGAGCCTGCGCGCGCCTCGGGGGACAAGACCGCGGAGTCTCACTCGTGACCCCGGCTCCTGGCAGGCCAGCCCAGCCAAGAAGGCCCGGGTCGGGCAGGACGAGCCGGCCACGCCGCCCTCGTCGCCGCTCAGCGCGGAGCAGCTCGACCGCATCCAGAGGAACAAGGCCGCGGCCCTGCTCAGACTCGCTGCCCGCAACGTGCCCGCCGGCTTCGGCGAGAGCTGGAAGAAGCACCTGAGCGGAGAGTTCGGGAAGCCGTACTTCATCAAGGTGCGTGCAGCCTGCATTGCTGGGCGCTTGTAGTTTGCAGCCTCCTTGCATGGAGAAGCCGGAACCCAGGCTGGCCTCAAGCAAACCTTGCAGCCAAGATGGGCGTTGAGATTCTGATCCTCCTGGCTTGGTATTATTATGGGGAGGAGGGCGTGTGCAGGACAATTTGGGGAGTCACCCCCTCACATGGGCCGGGGATTGGCGGGCTTGGCGCCAGCTACGCTCACAAGTTTTTGTAAGCCGTTTGGTTTGCACGCCAGGAAACCCTGGCGTAGTACACCATCAACTGGGCTGAATGAAATGACCTTTGGCCCTTTGGATTCGGAGCCCCGGGCTGTAATGCTGATCCTTGGTAGCCTGAAGGGTCTGGAGCTGAGAACCAAAGAAAAGAAAAGGCGGGGTCACTGAAATGAAAGTAGTTTGGCAAACAACCTTGATTCAGCCCAGAGTAAAAGGGATGAGGCTGTTACAGAGGGGAACAGGTGCCCTGCTTGGGTTGATTAAAAAAAAAATTTAAAGTTTTGGTTTAAATCGTGCAAAAAAAACATGCAAGGTTTCAAACACATTTTATAAAAAGGTTTTTAAACTCAATTGTTATACTTTCTGGTGGGACTCTGCTTTTAAGCCTCGTTTATCTTTGAAATCAGCTAATGGGATTTGTTGCTGAAGAAAGAAAACATCACAAGGTCTATCCACCCCCGGAGCAGGTGTTCACGTGGACCCAGATGTGTGACATCAGAGATGTAAGTGAAGCTGGGGTCTGGTTAGGGAAGAATCAAATGACATTTCCTAATTACAAACACTGATGTGAAACCAGGGGCAATGATTTAGTAGTAACCCGGAAATTGTGAGTTTTGCTTGTGTTGAGCATGAAAGGCCGTGCCGGGCCTCGGCAGTCCACCCTTGCACTGCTGAATTAACTCTAGCAGTTGTTAACCATAACTGCTGTTTTCCATAACAAAAGGAAAAATACATTTGCTTGCATGCTTACTTTTTCCTTTTAAATTGTCCCATTATTATATATTACCACCAAGGTTATTTCAGTCTTGGTTGTAGTCAGTGGGATTGGAAAAGTGAGGGTCTTTCTGTTCACATAATGTGTTCATTGTGGGGAAAATTCAGAGAGAAGCCTTGTGCTAACACATACCAATAATTTGAGCACTTGGGGGTTGGGAGGCCACCCTGGGCTACTTGAGACCTTGACTCCATAAAACAAAAGGCAAAAACAAGTGCTGTTATGTGTTATACAGACACAAGAAGGATGGTCTGAGGTACTTAATTCAGATAGCTTGCCTAGCATCCGTGAAGTCCCGTGGTTAATCTGACCATCCAACTGAATGGCTCATTCGAAGCCAGCCTTCAGTCAGTCATATGGATGGCAAGTGTCTTGGTAACTCCGACTCTGGTGTCCTGACTTCATTGTCTTCCTCATCCAGACTTTCTCAGAACCAGTTAGTAATAGAACAAGCGTGTGATCAACTTCCAAAACCTTCACCTGAGTGTCATCCACCCTGTCCCAGGTGCAGACTCTGCTGTTGAGTCTGGACCCTTAAGCTCAGCTCTTGGGCAAGTGGATTTGGGTGAAGACTGCATTGCCTTGGGCCTAGAGGGCCAGACCTCTGTAACTAGTGTTGCCATCATAGCTTTTGTTGTTAGTTATGCTGGGGTTTGAACCAGGACCTCGGTACTGTGCAAGTGCTTTCTACGACTCAGCTGTGCCCTTTTTATTTTGACAGATCTAAGTCCCCCAAGCAGGCTTTGAACATACTCTGTAGATCAGGCTGACCTACAATTTCTGGTTTAGTGGGCCTTTTGTGTTTGGTTTTGTTTGGCTTGCAGACCTGGGGAATAGAACTTACAGTCTCGGTTATTGTGCTTTTCCATTGAACCACAGTCTTCAGTTTTTGATACACTGTCTCCACCTCTCAGGTGGCTGGTCTTGCAGCCTGAGTGGCTGGTCCTGGCTCATCTCAGCATTCCCTTGGACTGTCTTGTTCTCAAGACCTTCGGTGTGCAGAATCCTTCCATTTTTCTCTCTCTGTTTTAAATTAATTTGTATTTTAAGTGCATTTGTGTTTTCCCTGTATGTTTGTCTATGTGAAGGTGTCAGATCCCATGGAACTTGAGTTGCAGACAGTTGTGAGCTGCCCTGTGGGTGTTGGGTTCAGGAATTGAACCCAGATCCTCTGGAAGAGCAGCCAGTGCTCTAGTGCTCTTGACCACTGGGCCATCTCTCCAGCTTTAAGTGCATCTTTTTTTTTTTTTAACCCCTTATTAGGAGTGTGCACTATACTTGTGGTAGTCAGGAAGACTTACAGGTGTCAGTTCTTTACCTCTACCATTGGGTTCTGGAATTGAACTCAGGCCTTTACCTGCTGAACCATTTCAACTCCATGTTTTATGTTTTTTTTCTTTTAAGATTTTATTGTGTTTATATTTTATGAATTGAATGCTCTGCATATATACCTACAAGCCAGGAGAGGGCATCAGATCCTATTATAGGTGGTTGTGAGCCACCATGTGGTTGCTGAGAATTGAACTCTGGAAGAGCAGTCAGTGCTCTTAACCACTGAGCCATCTCTCCAGCCCTCCAAGTTTTATTTTTAATGAGCACATACTGGTTGTACATGCTTTATAGGTATGGTGACATTGCAGGACATTTGGCACAGTCATTACCTCAGAGATTTATCTTTATTTTCCTTTTTTTAATAGACTATTATTTTCCATGCATTTTTGCCTGCATGTGTATCTGTGTAGCACATGTATGCAGTGCCTTTGGAGGCCAGAAGAGGGCCATATGGGTGCTGGGAAATGAACCCAGGTCTTCTGCAAGAGCAGCGAGTGCTCTTAACTGCCACACCATCTGCAGCCCTTTGCACTGTATTGGAAACATCCCAGTCTTTGCTCCTGTTTTGACGTATTTCATTGTCAATTGCAATTAGTATACTGTGCTGTAGAGTAATAGAAGTTGCTCCTCCTTTAATCCCAGCCTCGAGGCAGAGGCAGCCTTAACAGAATGAGTTCCAAGACAGTCAGAGAGCTGCACAGGGAAATATATGAGGCCACTGGCAGTGGGTGCAAGATCTAACACTAATGACAAACTGACTTAGTGGGGCCCATGCTATATGGAGAGGTGCCTTAGTCCTGCCTCAATGAGATGATGAGACAGACTTAGTAGACTTCCTTGGGGAGGCCTTATACTCTCTGAGTAGCAGATAGAGGAGGGGGGGGCTGGGGTTGAAATGTAAAAAGAAATAATTTTTTTAAAAAAGGTTGCTCTTCCTGGCCCCGCCACATCCCTCCCAGGTCTGCTAGTCTCTGTTTTCTACTCCTGGAAAGCGGTGAGCTCTGTTTCAATTGGTCAGGGGTCCTGGGTGGTACTTGCAGGCTCTTTGCCTATTGCCTGCCTCTGCCTGTGTCAGTTACCCGCCGGTCACTTCAGTTTGTGTCTTGGCTGCATGACTTGGAAGTGCAACGTGGTGCTCTCTAAGCAGGGATGTCTTGTGCCCCAGCCTTGCCTCTGCCTCTCATTGTCTTTAAGAGTTGGTAAACATCCACGTTAGTCCAGTAACTGTAAAGTAGTTGATGAAGTTATGCTGCAGTCCACCTGGCCCTGAGCAAACCCCACAGATTGTACCTCAGGAAGTGGACCGTGGGACTCTTGGTCCTTGTTCTTAGACACCTGGTGAGGACATGGGCTCAGGGAGAGCAGAAAGTTGTGTGTGCCCAGATTCTGTACCGTCTAGAGCTGCACAGTGGGAATCAAAGCCTGCAGGAGAATTCTAAGGGACAGGGGTGTTAGCCATAGAGAGGAAGGGAAGCAGAAGAGGCCAACCTTTCCACACCCAAGAGAGTTCACGGCTTGCCAGCCACTCCCATGCTTCTGATCTGGCCTCATTCTGTTAATGTTGTTCATTCAGTCCTGTGGAGCATCAATTGTTGAGTGCAGGTCTGTGAAAGCTTAGATTGGATTCTTTTGCCCATCAGTGTTTTTCCATAACGAGAGACCGGCTGACTGCCAAGAGAGGCCGCTACAGTAAGTGGTAGCAGGCCTAGGAGTGTCCAGCCTTTTGACATCGTTATCTGCAAAGGTGATGGGCTGTGTTCGTGTGGTCTGTGTGCTCACATGGTACTGAGAAATGATTAGCTTGCAATGGCCACCTCCCTTCACCTTGTGAGGTACTGACTTGTGATGGACTGGAATGGTCCCTCCATATGTTTCTGAGTAGTTCTCTGTGTTAAAAGTTTTGTCATGTGAGAGGCAAGAAAATACCAAACTCCTAAGTGAGCCATTGCATCAAGGCCACTGAGTAAAGGATTTTTTTTTTTTTTTGGTTTTGGTTTTTTTGTTGTTGTTGTTTGTTTTGTGTGTGGTTTTGTTTTGTTTGTGTGTGGGGGGGTTGTTGTTGTTGTTGGGTTTTTTTGTTTGTTTGTTTTGGTTTTTTTTTTTGGTTTTTGGTTTTTCGAGGCAGGGTTTCTCTGTATTGTTTTGGAGGCTGTCCTGGAACTTGCTCTGTAGACCAAGCTGGCTTCAAACTCGGAGATCTGCCTGCCTCTGCCTCCCGAGTGCTGGGATTAAAGGCGTGCGCCACCACCACCCGGCTGAAGGATGGGTTGTTAATGTGGTTGCTAGTGTGTGGTGGGCTGCTTGCGCCTTTTGGGTTCCTCAGTTGGGCCTTTAGTGGGGCTCTGCTGTTCATTGTGTACGTCTGAGTGACCACTGTGTGTCCCTCTGAACTGAACCCAGTGTTGTCTGATCTCTGCATTCACAGGTGAAGGTTGTTATTCTGGGACAAGATCCCTATCATGGACCTAATCAAGCTCACGGGCTCTGCTTCAGTGTCCAAAGGCCAGTTCCGCCTCCGCCCAGGTACACCCACAGTGTGGCTGGCCTCAGTCCACAGGACACATCATGGGGGGCGTTGTCGGGGTGGCACTGCTCTGGGGGGTTTATACATATTCAGAGAAATAGAAGGTGGGTTGTGACGCCGTACTTAGGTCTTCCACAGTGCATCTGATTTTCAGTCTTGAGTGCAGACCATGGTGGAGGTCAATAGTAGATGACCTGTCAGTGTTGGCGCTGTTCGTCCTTCCCACCCTGGCTTGTTTCTAACCTTTTCACGCTCACCTTGGAGAGTTGAATTTATCAACTGTCGGAGATTCTGATTGATTGTGTTTTTCTCTGCCTTGTTTTCAGTTTGGAAAACATTTTTAAAGAGCTGTCTACAGACATCGATGGCTTTGTTCATCCTGGCCATGGGGATTTGTCAGGGTGGGCCAGACAAGGTAACCAAGCCTACCTAGGCCTATTTGGGACCAATGCCAGTAGCCTGCCTGTGCGCTCGCTCTCACACACTCTCTCTCTCTCTCTCTTGTTTGCTTTTAATTTATTGCCTCTCCCTCTCTCCCTGTATACTATGCATGTAGGTGTGCGTGCGTGCTTGCTTGCTGGTGGAAGGCAGTTGTAATATGCCCAACATGGCTCCCAGGGATTAAACTCTGCGAGAGTTGCTACGCTCTTACTTGCTGAGCCATCTCTAGTCCTGTTGCTGTGTCTTTAAAGATGACGGTGCTGTAGGAAGAGGCCCTGATGTGTTTGTTAGTTTCAACATGCTTGCTCCTGGCACTTTGTTCTTGGCTTCTAACAGTTTAATTTTGTTGCCATCAACATTTAGGATATGTATTTTTGAACACTTTGGTTTTGTGTTGGTTTTTTTTTTTTTTTTTTTTTTTTTTTTTTTTTTGGTTTTTCGAGACAGGGTTTCTCTGTGGCTTTGGAGGCTGTCCTGGAACTTGCTCAGTAGTCCAGGCTGGTCTCGAACTCACAGAGATCCACTTGCCTCTGCCTCCCGAGTGCTGGGATTAAAGGCGTGCACCACCAACGCCCGGCTTGAACACTTTGGTTTTTGTTTGCTACCCAAAACTGGAAGATGCCAAGGGGGCAGATATGAAACAAAACGCCCCGAGTCTGGCTCAGAGGTCACTGCTGGTCGTGTTGAAACATTCTCTTTATGGCCTGATTTCACTTCTGCCCTGAGTCTCTGTGAGGTGCATGGTCAGTTGGTGCTGCTTCCTAACCTTTCTCCCCACTGTGTTCACAGGTGTCCTCCTCCTCAATGCTGTCCTCACTGTCCGCGCCCACCAGGCCAATTCCCATAAGGAGAGGGGCTGGGAGCAGTTCACTGATGCAGTTGTGTCCTGGCTAAATCAGAACCTGCATGGCCTTGTCTTCCTGCTCTGGGGCTCTTATGCTCAGAAGAAAGGCAGTGCCATCGATAGGGTATGTGTCTACAGAGAGCCAGGGGACCTCGGGACCCGATAGTGTGTACAGCCATAGGAGGTCTACCTGTGGTGGCTTATGTGATTTCCCATACCTAGGAGGTTGAGGTGGGAGGAGTGCCATGAGTTGCGGACCTGGCCAGCCTGGGCTATGGAATGAGATGCCGTGGAAATGATCGCTATGCCTCATTGCAGTTAGTGACATACATAGAAGTATTAGCCTGCCCTGTAGTAAGGACACCGTGGTCCCTGGCACCGTGTGTCTACATGTGATGCAATGCTTGATAAATAAAGCAAGTGTTCTGCTTCTGAGAAACTTGGGACCATACAGAAAACAGGCATTCCACTGAATCAGATAGGATTTACTCACGAATGCCTGGAACAGTGAGTGAGCACTTCTGCTGGAGCACTGCAGGTGAATGCCCACCAGAGCGCTTCCATTTTCTCCTTCCCGTGTCTGCTTTCAAGACTGCACACTCACTTAACCTGTCACCAAGTCCCCGAGAAAGCCTGAGCCAACGTCTTCCCTCTCACCCTTCCTCCCAGTAAATCCTGTCTTACCAGTGAATCCAGGCACCTGTGTCTCTGAAATGTCCCAATACTTCTTCATATTGCCTCTGCCTTCGCTCCTGGGCTGGACTCCAGTATTTCTCTGTAGTGATGACTGCAGGTGGACGTAGACAGTAGGGCAGAGGTAGGAAGGGGGGTTGACGTTTACCAGGGTCTCCAGGGGACAGGTGCATCACGGCTGCAGTGAGACTGAACCTGGTATGTGTCAAATCTCAGAGTGGCTTTTGAGGGTGGGGACACTCACCCAGTGTTATCATGGGGCCAGACAGTGGCTGCTGAAGAGAGGACTCAGCATTAGGAGCACTTACAGAGGGCTAGAGTTCTGTTCCCAGCACTGCGTATGGCAGCTCGCAGCCGCCTGGCTTTGAATTTAGCACGGCTGCATGTGGTGCCTTTCAGCTCCTCTGTAGGTCCATGCTTCACAGCTCCCACAAATGTGGCCTGAATCCAGTCAGCAAGAGTGACTGGGCACTGAGGTGTAGCCATCTATCATTGCAGATGGTGCCCTGTGCCTCGGGGCCAGCACACAAATGTGAGCTTCAGCTTGCAGTGGGTGGGGCAGAACATGCACAGCTGCCTCGAGGTGCGGTGGCCATGGCTATGTTGAGAGGGTGCCAGCTGCCACACTGAACTCTGTTCTTTTTCAGAAGCGTCACCATGTCCTGCAAACAGCCCATCCCTCCCCGTTGTCGGTGTACAGGGGCTTCTTTGGATGCAGACATTTCTCTAAAGCCAATGAACTGCTCCAGAAGTCTGGCAAGACGCCCATCAACTGGAAGGAGCTGTGATGCTGCAGCGCAGGTCACCTTTCCAGCAGTGGTTCTGAGGCTGCCACCCACCGAAGCATTGGCTGGTTTGGAGTTACTGAAAATGTCCCTGTGTGTGAAGAAAATGGGAGAGATCTTTGTAAAGCAGTCGCCAGCCAGCCAGTCACAGAAACCACGGCTTTAGCAGCCAGACCTCTGGACTGCCGCTAGGTTTGACCTCTGTGCCAGGCAGAGTGGCCTGGCCAAACATGCCCACTTCTCACAGACCAGTGGGCACATACTTGGTCCTGTGGCTGTTTTGGGTAGGGGGAGAGATGTGCACCTTTTTGATGCCTGCTGCTCTTCGCTTTTGCCTTTAGATGTAGAGGTTACAAGGTGTCCCGGTGTGTGCTTCTAAAGGCCCTCTGTCTCGAAAGGAGGGAGCCCTTGGGTGTTTTTAGATCCTGAGAGTCTTTCTTGATTACAAAGAGAGGGGTGTATCTCCCACGGCTCAGGAGGAGTGGCTGCTGTCCTGCTGCTTATCCAGGTCTTTGCCTTAAGCAAGTAGTAAAGTTAAAGCAGAGGACAGGGTTGGTTTTCTTTCAGATGAGGTGGGGTGGGGGTTCTTCCAGTGCCTGTGGAGTTGGGGTTTTCCCACAGCAGATTGCCAGCCATTGGTTTGTGTGATACTGGGGATACAACCCCAGGGTGCTGGTTTTTATGGGCCAAATCCACAGATTTTATTTTTCTGCAACATAGACTGTTTTTTACAAGGTATGTGGGTACATTTGTGTGTTCAATCCTTTGAGAGACGGATCTACTGATTTGTACCTCAGCCTGGATCCGGTGGGCCCAGCTGGCGAGAGCAGTGACTTCGCTTGGGCAGGATAATAAAAACATTGGAGTTTGTCTTTGTGTCTGCTGTTCTTCCGCATTTGTCTATAGGTGCCCTGTGCTTGTTGTCACCTACTCATGGCAGGAAGGACCGCCCCTATTTGTAGCTCTCCACGGGTCGCCCACTGTCAGCCTGGAGCAGCTTGCTACACTGTTGCTAAAGGCAGGTTGACCAGGGCAGTGGTCTGCTGGGGACCCCCGAAGAAACAGTTTGGAGGGGGTCCCAACCTTTGGAGACTGGGATCTCAACTTGCCTATCCTGACTGGCTTCTACCTGGGAATGAGTGTCAGGTGCCACTGATCCATCAGCTAACAGGTGGCCCTTGCTGTCTAGATGCAGGTGGGTTTCCCTGGTGATTGAGAAAGCAAGCCGATGCTTAAAGGGAAAGGGTGTGGCTGAGTGCCGGTGAAGAGCAACTATATGTGGTTTGGGAACTTTCCTTCCTGGCCTCTGTCTACAGGGGCGACTTTAAGATTCCATGTTTGGGGTCAACAAATAGGCTCCTTGAGGATGCAGATACTTGGGTTTGCCTGTTGGTCCCTTCAGAGGCTCCCCCATAAGCCATGTGATGAACTCCCTTACTCAAAGGTAAAGTGAGAGGCCCCATCTCTGCCCACTAGGGTGACCCCTTCCTGTGCAGGGCTGTAAGAACTACATTGAAAGGCAAGGGGCAGCCAGCTATTGACTGTTTTAATAACAAGGGCTGGCCTGGCAGCTGTGGCACATACCTTTGAGGGCAGGGACAGGTGGATGGATCTATTGAGTCCTAGGACAGCCTGGGCTACACAGAAACCCTGTCTTGAAAATACAGACGGGCTGGAGAGGTAGCTTGGTGACCGAAAGCACAGGGTTTTGTTCCTAGCTCCAGTTTTGTTTTCTGGCCTCCTTGAATACCACGTACATGTGTGCACAGACAGACATGCAGATAAAACACCCGGCCTTATGCCTATGCTGTGATAAAATACCAGAAGCAGTTGGGGAAAGGAAAGGTTTGGTCTTACAGTTGAGGGAAATGAGGACAAGAATGATGGGTTGATGGAGAGGCCTTGGGGAATGCTGCTTCCTGGCTTGCTTGACTTGCTTTGTGGTGTGCCACCAGGGACCCCCAGCCCGGTGGTGGTGGCGCATGCTTCTTAATCCCAGCACTCTGAGTTCCAGGACAGCCAGAGCTGTGACACAGAAAGCCTGTGTTGGGGGGGAGGGCGGGGGACACAACAGATTTGCCTACCTAATCTTTAAGTTTGAGGCAGGGTTTCTCTGTAGCTTAGGATCCTGCCCTGGAACTCAGAGATCCGCCTGCCTCTGCCTCATGAGTGCGCCACCACCTGGCCTACATCCCAATCTTAAGGAAGCATTTTCTCGATTGACGTTCCTCCTCAGGTGACCCTTAATTGTGTCGTATTAGAACTTTACTGAAGTCTAGCCAGCACAACCCCACACTGAGCTGGAGAGATGGCCCCACTTGGGAAGCACTTGCTCATCTTCCAGGGGACCTGAGTTTAGTCCCAGCGCTCAGGTGGCTCCCAGCCCTCCCTAACACCTGTGCTCTGGATTGGGCACCTGGGCTCATGTGCACATACTTGGCCGAAGACCTACACACCTAGACATAATTAATGTTATTTAAAATGTCTTAAACTGTTGAAGGGCTAGTGAGATGGATGGGTCAGTGGGTGGTGCTGCCAAGCTTGACCCAAACAGGTCCCTGAATCTACACAATGGGAGTAGAACTGATGTGTCACTCGCCCCAAGGGATGTGACACAAGTCTGCATTTGGGCACCTGTCTTGTGTGGGCACAAATTCTCACACAGGATAATTTTTTTTCCAAGACAGGGTTTCTCTGTGGCTTTGGAAGCTGTCCTGGAACTAGCTCTTGTAGACCAGGCTGGTCTCAAATACACAGCGATCTGCCTGCCTCTGCCTCCCAAGTGCTGGGACTAAAGGCGAGCACCACCACCACCCAGCTTAGAATAGTTTTTTTAATTAAATGGATTTGTTGGGGTGTGACTTGGCAGGCACCAAGAGAAAATTGACACTGGGCTGGAGACAGGGCTAGGTGGATGGAGCTCTTTCTGCCAGGCCTGAGCTGAGAGCTGCAGGTTGTCCTTGGACCTCCACATGTGCAGAGAAGTGGGCATCGCTACTGTGCCCCCGCAAAAGTAATGGTTTCAGTTTATCAGGGCATGGTGGTGCATGCCTTCAGTCCCATCACTTGGGAGGCACAGGCAGACGGATCTCTTGAGTCCAAGGCCAGCCTGCTCTACAGATGAAGTTCGGGACTGCACAGACTCTGCCTCAAGTTGAAGCTGCTATGGCACATGCTTGTGATTCCCAGCACCTCTCAACATGTGGGTCGTGACCCCTTAGGGGTTAAAAAAAACTTTCACAGGGCTTGAATATCAGATACTTAACGTTATGGTCCATATCAGCAAAATTATAGTTATGAGATAGTTTTAGGGTTGGGATCACCACAACATGAGGAACTGTATTAAAGGGTCAAAACATTAGGGAGATTGAGAGCCACCAGCTTAGACTGAGGCAGGAAGATCTCAAGGACAGCCTGGGCTTCATAGCAGGACCGTTTTAACAGTAAAAGGTGAATGGTATAATGGTAAATTGTGTGGAAACAATACTTTATAGAAAGTTCTGGAAGGTGAAGTAGCTGAGGGTTTGCTCTGTAGCCCACACTGACCTTGAACTCCTGGCAACCTGCCTCAGCTTCCCAAGTTCAGAGATTATAGGTGTGGGCCACCAAGCCCGACCGAGCATCTTAAAGGATGTTTGGGCTTCCCTGCTCCACCCCCTTAAAGACAAGTTAATCATTAAACAAAAGCCTCATTTTATGAGGTATGTGGCAGTAGTTTTTTTGGGGGTCCACATTAAAAGTATGTTCTCTAGTACTGTACAAAATAGCGAACAGAATGGGGTGGATTTAAATGTCAGGGTTGCAGCCGTTAGTCTCAGCACTGCTGGAGTCTGGAGAGAAACAGCCAAGGGACAGTGTAAGGGAGATGAGGCTGTGTAGTGGTGATGTGAATTAAATCTGACTCTCATGTGTCCCAGCAGCCTTTGCTATCCCTACCTCCACCCCTACCACATGATAAATGTAACGCTGCCTGCCTGGGACAGCTTGCTGTGGCCCGCGTATACTCTGCTGATGGCGTAGGAATGAGATACCAGGAAAAAGGTTCCCTAATTCTGGTCAAGCTGGGGGTAGAAGGAAGCTTTCCTGCCAGACAGAATTTTGCAGATCTAAGTTGCTCTACACGGCCAGGTAGCAGAGGCCCCCTCTATGTAGATCTGAAGGCTCCATGTGGCACAGTGTGGGAGGCCTGTGAAGACCCACCTAAAAAAAAAATGGTTCCTGCCACCTCCCTCCAGGGTAAGGAAGTCAGTTATGCAAATGTCATCCTGGGAACCCCAAGTTATAAAATAAGTGTGTCAAAGTTCACTCCCTGGATTTGACCGGAGCCCAGCAGGGCAGAGTCGGATGCTATTGGTAAGTTCTCCGTTCTCTGAACCCCCCTTTCTCTTCGGGGGGTTCAGGAATAATTACGGGACTTCCAGTGGAAAAGCACAATTTTGGGGGTGTGTATGTGATACTACTGGCTTTTCAGCTCAGCCTGGTCAAATCTTCATGATGGATGAGGGCAACAGAAGCTAAAGTTGGCCCAGGTCGACTTGAGGTCCCCTCAGCTCATGCTGAGCAAAGACTGGAAGCGTCTCTGAGATGTCTCTGCAGAGTCCTCGGCTTCAGTCTGGGCGTCAGAACTTAGGGTGTCTAGTTCACTGCAGTGTCGCTTCCCCGAAGGAGCCAGGGTTCCCTGTGCCACCTGGCCCTCACGACTGTTTGGGATGTGTGCCTCTGAATCTAGAGATGAATACTTTCTGTTAATATCCTTGTTTTCGGTATGAAGAATCCATCAGTAGCATTAGCTATCCCATTTTATTCTATTTGAGATATTAGCATATCCATTGTACAAATAATGGATCTCACTGCAACGTGTGTGTGTGTGTGTGTGTGTGTGTGTGTGTGTCTCCCGTGCATGTGGAGCCCAGGGTTGTCATTGGATGTGTCTAGTGCTTTTTGCTGTGTATGTGGTGTATGTGCAGGCATGTTTACATGTGTGGAGATGCTCTCTGTGCATGTTGGGGGGGGTTCAAAGTTGCCATCAGGGGTCCTGGATAGCACTCCACCGTATTCACTGTGGCAAGGGGTCATCTGAATCCAGAGCTCACCACCGTATTCACTGTGGCAAGGGGTCATCTGAATCCAGAGCTCACCACCGTATTCACTGTGGCAAGGGGTCATCTGAATCCAGAGCTCACCACCGTATTCACTGTGGCAAGGGGTCATCTGAATCCAGGGCTCGCCAGCTAGTCAGACTAGCTGTTGCTTTCTGAACTTTGGGGTTATAGGAAGGCCACCAGAGCCACCCAGTTTAAATCAGAACTTTTGTCTTCATGTTTGCATGGCGAGTGTTTTATCTACTGGTTATCTCTAGCCCCCCCCCCACCTTACTGTGTTGACTCAGGGTTTGCTATTGAATCTAAAGCTCATAATTGGGCCTACTGAGCTCTGGAAGCCCACTGTATCCACATAGTCTGCTCCCCCAGTCCCCGGCTGTGCCCAACACTGGGGTTACACTCTGCTTTTACATGCGTGCTGGGATCTGAACTTAGTCCCTATCCTCACACAGTAGACATTTACTGCCAACCTCACAGCTCCCCCGTGAGTGTAGCGTGTGCACTGGAACAGTCTATGTATGGGACTTGCAGAGCCGCGCAGCTCTCTTCGTCTGCGTCTATGACTGTGTTATTTGAGACAAGGTCTCGTGAGGTGGGTAGTTCTGGCTGTCCTGGAACCCGGTCTTTATGGGGTCACGGCTTCGTGGCACCACACCCGGCAGGAAGTACTGTGCTTCGTTAGCAGGGTCAGCCACGTGGGGCTCACACCTGTCATCCAGCACCACAGAGGCTGAAGAAGAGGACTTCCCCAGGTTCCACTCAGTGTGGCCTACAGTCTCTTAACTGTGTTTCTGTAACACACTTTGCTGAGAGCCTAGGGTTACCTTTTTTTTTCAACCACAGTGAAATGGCTGATGAGAACACAGAACCTCAGGGTCGTGAATAAGTGAGGAATGAACTCACATCAGCCTGGTGACAATGCTGGATAATCTTGTCACTCTCAACCCACTGCCTGGATTGTAATTTGCAGACACTGGGAAGGAAGGGAGGAGGGGCTGGGGAGGGCAGCCAGGCCTTGGAAATGCTAAGCAAGAGCTGTGCTGCACCTTCACCGTGAGAAGGTATGTGCGGTGGGCTTATCCGAAATGCCTTCGGTCTCCACAGCTTTCCTTTTGATGTTCTCCATTCCCAATCGCGTGACAAGAGTAATGACTCAAAGTTTGCGTCCTGCTCCCAAACCCATTGGGGACCCCCCCCCCAGGAAGTCCAGTATTTGTTGATTTTTCCTAACTGGAAAACAAGCCTACAAGTGACGTGGCCAGGGCAGGGTGTCAGGTGTTCCAGGAGTGGGCAGAGCGGCCCTTCTGTATGGACTCTGCTCCTCCCTGGCTGCGCTGTGCAGCCAGGGAACAGAATTTGGGACCACTCCACTGCTGTCCCCACTCTGTCTGAGCACAGTGTTGGCATGTGGCTTCTGCTTCCTTGCCTGCTGCCAGTTGGGGTTGGGACCTGGAGGTGACCTTCGGCCCACATGTCTCAGAACACTCTCTGACTACAGCATGGGGCTGGCCTCCTCTGTTCTGCTCAGCCCTGTCCTGAGCCAGCCAATCCTAAATACAGCAGCCTTGTTTTATAATCCCCAAGTCCCAAGAAATATTAGAAACATTTCACAAACAGGGCATGACTGCATGGGTCTCCTGCGTGCTTGTTGGGGAAGGGTGCCAGACCATCTTTGGAGGCCCTTCCCTCTCAGTTCGAACTCACTTCTCTAACAATCAGCACCTTGTTACAGGCCAGACTGACCTCCCCGTAATGCTTATGACACCTTGGGCTTTAGATGGCTCCAGTCTAAGTATCCAGCAGTTTTGAAATAAAGTGAGCTGTGGGGTTGAGGAGCAGAATAGTTCCCTGGGAGTGTGCAGCGCCAGCGCCTGCTGTGGGATCATTTTCCTCCAGTCTGGGGCACAGTTGCCATTCAGTGCCTTGAAGGTTAAATGCTCTGGGGGATATTTTTAAACAGCAGGGGCTGGTTAATCTAAAAGTGACATTTACAGACACAGCGGTGAGCTGCCAGCAGCTTGGATCCGGGCCTTGGCCAACAAGGAGCTTGAAAAATTGTCACCGCGAATATACAGCTAGGAAGCTATGGGGAAAGCAAGGCCGAGGTGCTAACACAGTAAGTGAGCCCACCCCTCCCCCCTCCCCAGCGTAATGCACCTCACAGCCAGTCCCCAAGGGACGGGTGTGTGTGTGTGTGTGTGTGTGTGTGTGTGTGTGTGTGTGTGTGTGTGTGTGTGTGGTGTCCGTCCCAGACAAAAGCAGCCACTTGAAGGTTTTAGGGGACATTGAGGGAGCTGCTTGTTATACAACAGTTTGTTATAAAGCCCACTCTGATTCTGTGCTGTCATGTAGTACACACCCCTTTCCCAATTGCCATTCTATTGTTTTAAAATATAAACGTACTTACATACTGGTGGGTGGCCATCTCAACTTGTTGAGAGACCCAGAATTATCTTTTGTTGTGTCTTTGGCTGGTGTTTGTTTGTTGAGGATGTCCTGGAACTTGCTGAGTCATCTAGGCTGGCCTTGAACTCACTGCAGCCCTCTGGCCTTTTTTAAAGAAACAAACAAAAGCACCTGGTTTCTCCGAATCTTCAATGGACTCCTAGGTGAAGGTCTGGGACTTCCTTTGTCCATGAGTTCAACCAGAAGCCCTGGGAGAGTGTTGTAGGTGTGTTTGTCCCTATACTGGAGTTGGGCGAACCATCTTGCGTTTTTTTTTGTCGTATTTCGGTCCAGTGCAGAAATGACAAGCAGCATCAAATGCCGTTTTCAGGCCGTGCAGGGGTATAGGCACATTAGTGTTTTGAAGTGGAGGTGGCCTCTAGTTCTTCCTCTATTAGAATCTGGGCTATCTCTTGCCCTAATGCTACCTCCAAATTTCAAGTCAGGAATTTCACTTCCAAGGTGGGCCCGTGTGTCCGCAGGAGTGTGAGAACAGTTCAAAATTGCAGCAACCTGGAAAGGGCACGCTTTTCTCGTTCTCTTCAGCTGTTGCACTGACTGCAGTGAACTTACTGTGGCAGGGGTGGGGGGCTCCCTCATTCTAGGAACCAGAGCTCCCGTCTCAGAGTCCAGGCTGGGCAGTCCAGGAAGCTGAGGGGTTGGTCGCTGTGTGGCAGGTATGAACAGGGTGCTGAATGACATGACCTTCAGATTCTGAGGGCAGGGGAAGCCACAGAGTTATTTGTTCCATTCCCCAGGTCAGAAAGCCAAGCTGCAGAGAATTTCCCTGACGGCTCAGGCTTAGGCAGTCAAGTGGTGGATGGTGAAGGTCCCACCCCCCCTCCACCCTGCTCCTGTCATGCTCGGTGGCCTCTTAGCCACTCCATGCCTGCGCCCGGTCCGTGGGAGCAGCCGCTCTCTAGGAAAGAAAGGTCCCTTTAGTTTGCCCCCGGTTGCCATCAGTCTTTTTCTCTTCCTTGAACTTTTTTACATTTGTTTATTTGCGCAGGTGTGGAACATGTGGAGGCCAGTTGGTTCTCCCCTCCCACCACGTGGGGTCAGAGGGCATGGCAGCAAGTGCCTTTCCTTACTTGCTGAGCAATCTCATTGGCCCTCCCTCAATCTTGAGAAGTGAAAATAGTTCGCAAGTAAGCATGGTATTGAAAGATGGTCCTGAGCTCTCCTCTGTAAACTTCACTACTTAGGATTGTCAAGCACAGGGAAGTGTTGTCACCTGTCTGGAAGGCCTTCCTCATTGATGAAGGAAGGAGGCTGCTCTCATTTTTACGCTCCCATCAGGGTGGTGGCAGTGGGTGAACATGGCAGAGCCAGGCTGTGGGCCAGTCTGGGACCGACATTGTCCCTGAGTGCGCAGAGCCTTCGAGGCAGGACCTCTTAAAGTCCCATTGTGGAGCAACCTAGGGATCCTGCAGGGTGCGATTTGGCAGAGATGGGGACCCTATCACCGGGCCTTGGCACCCTCCAAACAGTTTGGCTTCAGGCTTTCCTTGTTTCTCTGGAGAGAGCTGTGGGCACTGGAAAGAGCTGTGGGTGGAGCTCGTTCCTTTAGGCTTCCAGTTGGACCAGGACAGGGAGAACAGAATAGAGTTAGATGGACAGTACTCACTTAGCTCCATCCCAGCTCTCCTACTTCCTGGGGACATTGCTACCAACATGCAGATCCATGATCTGATTCCTTAGTTTCTCTGAATTCCAAAAAGAAATTAGAAAGCAGACACCAGTAAAGGAAAGAGATACATTTACAGTTGGGCTAGGCTAGGGAGAGAAAGCAGCTGTCCCGTGGGCCTGTGCCAGCCTCGTAGCTGGCAGAAGTTAGAAGGATCCATGGATTTTGCTGTGCCACTGTAGCCTGTCCTTCCCTGGGGAGGGAGGGAGGACTCCTCCTAGGCCTCATCCCATGTCAGGAGCAACAGTCATCACGGGCATGAGGTCGGCGTCTGTGCATATTTGAAGGGGAAGGAAAGGCTAGTGAAGCCTGCAGGCCGTGTCATTGGCAGGCCCCTGTGTGCGTCTGCAGTATCTGCTCTGTGCCTCCGAGTTTACTGGATTTGCGACCTGTAAACAGAGTTCTTTTCATCATTGCCTTTCAAGTATCTTGGTGGAAAGAGGCTGCGCAGGGTCCATCAACCGGGAGTTCTAAAGCGAAGCCCAGGTTTTAAACCTTGTCTGATCTCATGGGAGCTTACCCTCCAGTAGGGGAGATCGCCGCTGCTGTCTGGGACGAGTCATGCAAACCCAACAGCCTCACATTCATCCCCAGAAACCACAGGGAGAGGAATGACTCCCGAAGGTCGTCTGCCCACCCCATGCATGCCACATACACACATGCTCATATGTCACACACAATTTTTTTTTGAAAGTCTGTTTTCAGAATAATGAGTCATGAAAAATCACCTGCACTTTTGCGTGACACTGTGATGTCCTGATCTCTGGAAAGATTGGTGACACATTTTGATCCCCTGCTGACATCCTTTTAACCCTTTTTTTGGCATGGGAAGCCCTGGGGGCTCCTTGTTTTTACTTGGGACAAGGTATATTAACTTGCCACATATATTTCTGCCCTGGCCATTTTTTTGAGGGTCTCCGTTTGTTTGAGTGGGGTAAATACTTTTAACATCATAATGTGGGTCCCAGGCACAGGTGTGAATCTCTTCTTCGGTCACTTTTTTTTTGTTTTGTTTTTTTTGTTTTTTGGGTTTTTTTTGGTTTTTCGAGACAGGGTTTCTCTGTAGCTTTGGAGGCTGTCCTGGAACTCGCTCTGTAGACCAGGCTGGCCTCGAACTCACAGAGATCCGCCTGCCTCTGCCCCCTGACTGCTGGGATTAAAGGCGTGCGCCACCAACGCCGGCTTCGGTCACTGTTTTTGAGACAGGGCCTCACTGTATAACCCAGGCTGGCCTCTTGTGAGTCCCTCCTGCTTCAGTCTCTGCAATGCTTAGGTTTATCACCATACCCAGTTGTCTGTGACTTCCTTATGAGATATTTTTGGCTCCTCTGTGCACGATAGGCCAGACAGGAAACAGGGAATGGGCTGCAGGCTTGTGCAATGGCCCAAGGGCTCATGGCAGCGGCTTGAACTTGACCTTAGATTATATGCTCAGCATGGTGCCTGGAGCACCGGTGAGCCCAGTTAGTATCAGCCAGCCCTTCTGCCACCTGCTTTCCTCGTGTATGTGAGAAAAGCAAGAATCAGGATCTTGGCAAGAGCTCAGATTATGCAAGAATGAAGGAATACTTAAGCCCAGGCCCTCTAGGGGCACCATGCAATGTGTCATCTGTAGGGTCTTTGGGGTGTTTGGTTTTTTGAGACAGTCTGGTGTGGCTTAGGCTGGACTCAGACTTGTGTGTAGGTAGCAGGGGCTGGCCCTGGGCTCCTGCCTCTGCCTCCTTGCCATCAATGACTGAGATTGTAGGCATGTGCCTCCATGCCTGCTGGGTTCTTGGTTTTTTAATTATTTTTTTATTAAACAAATTGATGAGTTACACACGCCACAGTGTGTGTGTGTGTGTGTGTGTGTGTGTGTGTGTGTGTGTGTGTAGGTCAGGAGACAGCCTGAGGGAGCCAGTTCTCTCCTTACACCATGTAGGTTCCAAGTATGGAACTCAGGTCTGTCAAGCTTGGCAACACCCGCCTTTATCTGCAGAACCATTTCATCAGCCCCTGTTTATTTTTTTAACTTTATTTTATATGCATTGGTGTAAAGGTATCAGATCTCCTGGATAGGAGCTACAGCTAGTTGTGAGCTGCCATGTGGGTGCTAGGAATTGAACTCTGGTCCTCTGGAAGAAAAACCATTGCTCTTAACCACTGAGCATTCTCTGCAGCTCCTGTTTTTGGTTTCTGACACAGACCCTGTTCCCTCAGTGAGGCCACCCTGCTCCCACTTGATGAGGTAGAAGAGGAGTAGAGGAGTTCCAGCTGGAGTTCTGGGGCTTGGGTCACACTTGTCCTCGTACCTGGAATTTCCACATCACTGATCTCGCAAAGCTGAAGTGGCCTCAGTGACCCACACAACCTTCCGGCCCTCCTGAGCCTCACTGCCGTCGTCACAGCTGCCAGGTCAGCCTTGGAAGGCTGCAGTACGGGAATCTGCCTGACCGGCAGCGCTGCAGAGCTCTGACCCCAGGGAGTGGACCTAGAGCGGCTTTAGGTTTTGTGTCTGGGAAGGGGAGACGGAGGGACAGATTGTTCCCTCTCAGGGAAGCCATTCACCCTGGAGCTCAGTTCCCACCAACACTGTCACCTCAGTCTCTGGGGCTGGGGAAAGTCCTGGGTCTTCTCCACCGGCTTCTGGAGGTTATTCCACTACACACAGGTTACGTGTTGCAATAGTCCATCCCCAGGACCTGCCTTGGGGAGGCCTCCGCCAAGCACACTTGGTAGAAGAAATCCACCAGCTGATACCAGGTCAAGCAAAGGATGAGGTTTCCCCCAGGGGCAGCCAGCACTACCTTGAGGAACAATGTGAACTAGTGAGGTACAGATATCATGGTGATCACTGTGGTCGTGAACTATACTCATGCCAGGCTAAACAGTCCACCACGGTGAACTCCGTCACTCAATGGGCCCGTGAGGTTGCCACTGTCATTGTCCCTGTTTTGTTGCAGATGGGAAAGTTGAAGCTCACATTAACTATCTTACAGCTCGAA